TAACATGTAGCAATTTTAATAAGTCCAAAATGTTACTAGTTTCTTAATAGAGCAGGTTGACTAGACATAACATATTGCAAAAGCTGCATGGACAAAATATTATATGCTGACTCGTTAAACTTTATTGCAGTTGGCATGCCAGCATTATGAGGGACATAAGCACAGAATACAGAAAGAGGTTAGAAGGGGCTTGTGGGCGTGACAGGCACGCCACGGTTATGTGTGAGCAAATGCTCATAACTTGACCAAAACTTGGTTCTGATCGAGTCGTTGCTCTCGGGTGTGACCGCTGATTGGTTCGATTGTTTGATGTCGCGTCATTTGATTGGCTATTATCTATTAGGTGGAAGTGTAGTGGGGACGAACCGGCGACATCGGTACCCGCACAAATGGTCTCTGAGAACCCTTATAAGTCTCTTTCTGTATTCTGTGGACATAAGGGTGGTGCCGATTAAAGTGGTGAAATGAAATGTGGTATTGTGTCAGTATGTCTGCTGCATTAACTTACCTGTCTAATTGTGTGGACTACCTTTGCACATAGAAACTATCTTTTCGGTAATATTATAATAACTAAAAGAGGTAGGGCATAGCAGATTTTCCGCTCTAATTTGAGCGCCCGTCTGGGGAAATGAACTCCACCGTACAGAAGATCACAGTAAAATAACACTAACTTTTGATGGTGTTGTGTTTCTGTCGGTAAATCCTTACTTACCGTACCCTGAACTAATCCCTTAGCCCGTGGAACCTTGCAGCTTTTCTAGAGTTCCACGGGGTAAGGGAATGGTTTAGGGTAGGCAACAGTGCGAGTGATATTATTGGTATCGCAAGCGTCTAAAGGCTATGGTTGGCTCTTACCATCACTCGGACCATACAATTGTTTGCCACCCTTTCAAAATAAAAAAAAGGATTTTTTCTAGAAATTAAATCAATCATACTCTTTGTATGACCGTTTAGTATTACTGAATTCCGATTAATTCTCTTCAATCGTAAGACACATGAAATGAGTGGAATCAGTAGGCAAGACGTTAAAATTTAAAAGTTGATAAGTTTAAAACTCATTTTAGATACCAATACAACAATACTTTGAAGTTTGCTAATATTTACTATCATGACATAGAGGTTTTTTGCATCCCACATTAAGAATTGCCTTTCTGATGTAACAGCACAAAGCCGCTAAGTGTGCGATCTAAATTTCTTTTACGAAGAAATTCTTAAAACAATCACATAAATTTCTATAAAGTTATCTTGATTCTTACTCGATAAAGCTAACAGTGTATGTTAGTAAGTGTGCGTGCACTAAGTTGAAAATGTACTTATTTAAGTACATGTTTAAGTTCCAGATAAGCTCTCCAGTCTTAGTAATATTTTATCAACGTTCGCAAATGAGTTTTAAAGACAAAGGAAAACTTTTAATTTACATAAGATAAGGTCAGTTTAACTTATCGGGAACTTAAGCTCCCATACATTTTAAGTAACTTTTATTTCAATCCGAGCAGTCCCTTACTATGAATTACTATAAACTATTTTTTTTTTCATTTTTGTCTAATGAAAAAAGTATGTTTGTTATCATAAAAAAATATCATTGGTTGAACATCTTTTTCAAGGTCCCTGTATTTAGAGATACCTCTGTGCTTTTGAAGATAGGTTTAAGAGCGTTCAATCAATTATTTTAATTCTAATGCGAGGGCTTTAGGAGAAGAAAATGTAGTGAAGGTTCCATTGGCTGACGATGAGGATAAATGTAAATAAAACAGCGACAATTAGAACAAAACCAAGAGAGGTAGAGCATAGCGGGTTTTCCGCTCGAATTGGAACGCCTGTCTGGGGAAGTAACCTCCACCTTACAGATTTTTCACAGTAAATAACACTACCTTTTCTTGTATTTTTATCAGTGAGGTCACCACGGGTTAGGCAACAGTGCGAGTGATAATTTTGATATCGCAAGTGTGTGGTGGCCACTTACCATCAAGCGTATAGCCCATACGCTTGTTTGCCAACCTTTTAACAAAAAACTGCATGTTCAAGTGAGATTATTTCGAGTATTGAAACGTAGCCTTCGTCTGGGATTTTGCTAAAAGCGTAGTAGGGGCACTGTGGACCTCACTTTCATCGCTACATCGGCTTCAGTTGGCTCAATGCCAAACATTAATGTCAACTACTCGCGCCGGCGTATTTACACCTTCCGGTTCCTTCGGAGGTTGTTTGTTTTCTGTTAATTCCCCCTCCTTTCCAAAACATGTTTTGTGGGTATGATGGTGCTATTTATACCTACGTATAAGTTGCGTCTGTGAGATTTTGCTTTTTGTACTCGGTTTGAAAGAGTTGGTTTGGCGCTATTCGTAATGGTTTAAAAGATTCTTTAAAATTATACTTATTTGCTTTACCGTAATATATAACCATTGTTAAGTTCGATGGGGAGCTCGATCAGCTCGATGGCTCAAGTGGTTAGCGCGTTCGGCTGCGATCGTTGAACTTAAGCAGCTTTCGCAGTGGTCGGTCATTGGATGGGTGACCAAAAATTACTATCTCGAGCTCCTCCGTGGTTCGGAAGGCACGTTCAGCCGTTGGCCCCGGCTGCATCTGCAGTCGTCAGTACCCACCAATCCGCACTGAGCCCGCGTGGTGGGTCATGGCCCAATCTCGCTATTCCATCCATAGGGAAGGCCTGTGCTCCAGCAGTGGGGACATTAATAGGCTGGTGATGATCATGAATATATTATAACCTTTGTTAGTGTAGTGAGAATTATGGAACACTGGGCCAATCTTTTTTCAGCATTGATAAAAAATATCGCTCTCTCTCTTTTCTTTTTTGAAGTGAAAACTTCTTTAGCGGCGTTGTACACTTTTTTGTAATGGGTAAAAAATGTTAAACTCGCGTCAGGACACGTGGCGTAAGACGAAAACAATAAAATTGGAAAGGTTGTTGACTTTCAATATATTGCACGAAACATAGTAATATTTAATTTTATCGTATTATAATAATAAGTCTCTAACTAGGACGTCCAGGTGGCAGCTTTATTGTGAAGAAATGCATTTTTTATAATAGATGTCGCTAGGTGCGCTTAAAGGTGATTCATGTAAACTAAAATTATATAGGGTAAAAATGTTAAACTCGCGTCAAAACACGTGACCTAATCGAAAATTCGTAAGACGGATGGAGAGTAAGTAGACAGCCGCATTTAAATAGGTTCAAATCAAAACTTTGTTTCTTACTTCAGCTATCATAAACCGATCGTATCAGTTTTAGAGATTGGCGATGATGGTTCTGGTAATAATGGTGGTGAAAAAGTCGTCGAAATTATGGATGGAAGTTGACTTTTCTGAGAAAAGCTTTTTAATGTAATATAAATTGTCATATTTGTGTACGATAGCGCAATAAATAAATATTGTATTCTACCACATAAATGACTACTTTTATATTGTTAATTAAAGCAATTGGTGCAAAATTATTCTCTAACCATTTCAAAATATTAAAAATGCACAACGTTAAAATTCAAGTTTTCACTTCTGTTCTTTTATTAAGAAGAAAAAGTTTAAATTGAAATTTAAGATTTAATTCGAACTGAAGATCATTAAATCTCATAATTTGATATTGATTATGATAGAAAAACTAAATTACACTAAATTATGTTAGTTTATAAAAAAAAATTCGATTGAAGTAGTTTAAAGTAATTATGATATGTTTGTATATCTACGTTAAAGCAAGGGTGTAGTTTTAAAATGAGCATACGCATATATAACGTATGCGGGCGTAACTCGCCGACTGACTGGGTAATATTAATTAATTTTCGACCATAAATCTATGTTAATGCTCTGTTGCTAGGCTGCCTAAGGCATTAAGTTAGCTTACTTTAACCGAGTTGATTGGTTTGACTATTCTCAATTGAGGTTATTCGGATTATTGAATGCTGTGTTTATTTCAGCTTTAAAAAAATCAATACACAAAACTCTCCGAGTCGTGATTCAATCGATTGTTGTAATAATAGGTACAACAATCGATATATCATTACTTGGAGTGTGGAGTGTACATGTACTCGAATGTATGACGTCTGCCAACAACAAGTCAGAGAGGATAATCTAATTATATATGTTGTGGGATGATTTGATAAATCGAATATTCGCAAAAACCTAGGGATTTCGCGAAACGCGGATAATTAGACAGCGGCGATGACAATTTTCAATATTACTGAAAAAAGATAGGATATATGCGAAAACGTGAGTTGCCGTAGTAAGATTGAGAACAGTATCATTGATTTATTATAAACATTCATGGGTTTTCGTTTACAGTAACATTGAGCAATGTCATCGCCATTGTCTAATTATACGCGGTTTTGCAAAATCCCTAGGGTTCTCGCGAAAATTCGATTTATCATAACACCCTACGACTTATATACACACATATTTATAAACTTTGATCTTTGTTTTTAAACCTAGGAAAACGACGATATGTCATCACATATCGTCGTTGCAACGTTTCATCCAGCTCGAAGCTAGGTGAAATGAGCGGGGCCCTATTCATTAAAATCACAGAAAAAACTTCTGTACCGATAATGTGACACGCACTCTGACGTACGCCCTACCCAAAAAGCGTGCTGTTTTTTTTGAGCCTGTATGCTGTTGGTCGCAGATGACCTTTACAGCGTCATCGGGTTTGGGGACGGCGAGATCCTAAGAGGACTTCAAGCCGAGAATTTGCAAGTGCCTCTAGAGGTATTCCAGGCGGATGGCATCTCCCCAAGGGGGGAGTCGCCTCTCCGTCTGGAGCCTGTAGACCACTCGAACCTGAGGGGGTCGGCTCAACTAGAGGGCTTCTCTGGGTCTCGGACCTCGGCTCTAGTTAGCCGTTGTCGTAGAGCGTGCTGAGAGTGCGGGTGTATCTATGAAATCTTCTAACCCCTGCGAATGGCTTTGGGTGACGGTGAACCAATCAGAAGCCGTAACAAAGCAGTGTGTGAGTATATATTATATACATACGGCTTCTTTTTTATATGTTAAAAGGGTGGCAAACAAGAATATGGCCCGCCTGATGTAAGCGGGCTATATACTCGTAGCTGATTGACGCTTGCGATATAAAAAATATCTCTCGCGCCGTTGCCTACTCTGACCCAACTACCCCATGGAGTCATACTGCTATGTATAATTTAGAAATAGTAGTATTATATGTACTCACAAAATTATGTCAAAAATATATACAAACAGTTAAGTTTGATATGCTGGAATCTTTACTCAATTCTTTAAGGTGTTTTTTTTTCTTATTGATATAATAAAGGAAAAATAAATAAAGTAAAAAAGTTGAGTAGTTTTTAAAAAAGTTTATTAAATTAATACTGCTTTCATACTTTACATTTAAGAAAATGCAGTGGGGAATAAATCCCTACCCAAACTCCAACCAGAACGTCAAATTTGTAAAATGAAATCTCACTATAGATTTTGTTTATTAGAAATTTAGTAAATTACTAAATTATTTAATAGTGATGATGACTATTTTTTTTTCTTAGTCCATCAGGTAGATTATTAAAAAGTATTGGACACGTATTTTTTCTTTATACATATAATCAGAATATTACAGGGATATTTTGATTTGAAATATCACATGACCTCACGTCTTGTTACAATTTTTACCAAGAAGTGACGTCACAAGCCCCCGGCGCAATCCCAAATTTAGATGCGCTTTATCTTTGAAATTTTTTGGACGATTGACTAAAGAAGAAATACTTGTCCATTATTTTTTGACGAATGCCGAAATTCTATTTAATTCGTCAAAATTAAAACAAATTTCGTTTTTAATTCGTCAGAATTAAATAGAGTTCCGTTTACTTTACCCTGTCATCATCCCTATTGCTACTTCACCAGTAATGAAGACCTTTCGCTGTGTCAATACAGAATGCTTATTAAACTAAACTGAACTGCAATTATAAAACTCGAAAATGAGATTTTATTTTACAGAATCGTCTTATAGCATAAAATATCATCAACCTCAAATTACTTTCAAACGTCCAAGCACACTGCATAAGTATTACATAATGAAAATCTAAAAACTGATACCCTCTCGCGTCATCACTTCAAAAGTTTATTCAGTTGAACTTTTCAACTGACACTTACTTTCCAATAACAGTGGAATATGATAATACATACGATAAGTCCAAAGTGGCATCATCACTTATTTACGTCTCTGGGCGCGAGTGCACTTAATTAAACCATACGTTTCAACTAAGAAATGTGATCTCTGTAATATTCTTTTATATTTGAAAACGGTTAGTAACCCTTTTTGCAAAATGTAATTTATTAAAACAAGGCAAAAGCAAACCACTTGCACCAATATTTTTAATTCGTATTAGAGCTTAATCATGTTCAACACCTCATTCTATCTTTGTCAATTAATTAAAGTCAAATAAGGATAGAACGACATCTAAACTTTTACATTTGATTAAAGAACTTTAAAAACTCAAGTTAAGGCGTTATGATGTATTAAACAGTATTAAGCTTCAATTTGATTTTTTTAGGAATTTATTTTCAGAATTTTGTTGCAACTGGGACTAAATTAAATTCTCGACGAGGTATTATGGAAACTTGGACTGACTGGGGTTCTTTCTAGTAAAATTTTCTTTAGATTTACAAATTCTTCTCCTTTTCCCTATCACTGAAAATCTATAGATAGAAAGCGCCAAGATAAATACTCGTACAAATTGACGTCGACGTTTTTTTATCTCCCAAAGACAAAACGTTGAAATTAAACTGGAAAAAGAGTTAATTGAGTTTCGAAATAGACTTTTTCTCCAGTTGTCGAGATTATATCTAAGATTTCAATCTCAAAGAAAATCAACAGAAAAAGATGATAAGTTCGCGGAGGCCGATTTTTTACTTAAACTCGTAACTCGTAAGCTTAGCTGGAAGCTTGTTAGATAAACATGTATCGTAACGGAGTAACAATATTGGTTGAAATTTAAATAAGCATTTCAAGAGATATCAACGACAGATTGGATCGATTTCAATGCGTCCGACATTAATATAACACATATTAGTCGAAATATCAACAGCTATCTTTTAGAAGCACAATTTTTGTGCTTTATAAATTAACTTCTTAGTAAATCATGTGCAGATGAAAACATCACCAGCTGTCACTTCTAGGCGCCGGAGGAGGCCTGTGAAGAAAATAAGTGTGATTTATTGATGAATTTCAACAAACTCCTTATTTTCTAGCTAGTAGAGTAAGGGTAACATCTATTTTGACTAGTGTTTTGACACTCTCACCCAACTCTTTAAGTTGATCTTTGATATGTCATGTTCTTCATCGTCGTGCACCCTATCCTTATTTATCCTTATTTTAGTATGGAGTTAGCTGACATTCTGGATTAACACATAGGCTACGTTTAACTGCGGGAAAATATCCCTAATTAACCGTGGGTAACACCGCGGGGCACAGCAAGTGACACTATACAACAAAGTTCATAATACATCTTTCACTACAGCTATTTTAGCAACTGAACTCATTGATTGGTTAATTTACTGTAAAAAGTTATAGCTATAAAAAGTTCGAACATACACATAAAGAAGTGATAAAAAACTTTACTGAATTTATTTTATGATTACCATCTTAGTCTTGAAAATGAATTCAAAATACTTAATTGTGTCATGCCTAGTAAACTAGGCTGTGTAAAAATAAATATGGCTACAAAGCTATGTGAACGGTCTGTAGCTAGGCTGCGTAAGGCATTAAGTTGGCTTACCTTCACTAAGTTGAATGACTTCTTACATTTGACTATTCTCAATTGAGGTTATTCGGATTATTCTATGCTGTGTTTATTTCAGCTTTAAAGAAATCTATCTATACACAAAGCTCTCCGAATCATGATTCGATCGATTGTTGTAATAAAAGGTTAAACAATCGATATATCATTAACTGGAGTGCGGAGTGCAATACATGTACTCGAATGTATTGACGTCTGCCAACAACTAGGCTAGTACCGCTGTAGTGTAAAAATAAATGCGTAAACCACAGTACGAGCAAAATATTCACTGACCCAGGCGTATTCCAGTTGCCACTATCACATATTGCTGTGGTTGGTGTTTCTTGTGCACTGTTGAAAGAAAATGTATGATTGAATCCTATGCTATAAATAAATACTTAACGACCTTTTTATATAATAAAAAAAATACAATATACAGCAACGGAACAATTTAATTAGCAAGTATGAAGTTGCATTGTGTAGCCAGCGAAAGCATTATTTTTATATTATTTAAATAAATACATAATGAGCTTTTTAAGCAAATGACCACATTAGCAGTAACATTCAAGCCAAAAAGTGATATACTGGAACCATACAATATTATGAAAATAATTTATTAAAGAAACAGTTATCATTATCAGAGAAAGCACATTTCATAAAATAACTGACCCACACCAAAGTAATTTATACATTAACGGGAAGTACCCTGTTTTTTGTTATATAGAAGCAATACCATTAATACCATTACTTTTTATAATTTTTATGACCACGAAAGTTTAAAACAATGTAACTAACCCAGTTCCCAAGTTGGTAAGTGTCATAGCTTCCTGCGCCCTGATCTTCCATCCGTATGCTCTCCATAGTCTTACACATAGCGGCGTCAGAGCCGAACACCACAATAATCCCAGTACTGCACCGCAAAACCACCAGCCATGCTGAGAAACATAGCAATAAACATTATTTTAAAACTATTTAACCGACTTCAATAAGGAGGAGGTTCTCAATTCGGTGGGTACGTTTTTTAAGCATAAATCTCTTTGATTAAATAATCTAATGAAATTTTTATTATAGATATTTCCACTCGCAGGACGTAAGTAGTAACCATTGTTGAAGTCAAAAGATTCATATTTGATTTGAGTGTTTTTTTTATTAAAAGGATCCAATCCCCTACCCCGTGAAGCCCTGGAACCATACTTACCGGCAGAAACACATCACCAAAACGTAGTGTTATTTTACTGTGGATTGTAAGATGGAGGTTATTTCACCAGATGAGCGCTCCAATTCAAGCGGAAAACGCCGCTATGGCCTACCTCTCTTGTGTGAGAACATTTCTTTACAGTATTAAACTATTTTCTGACGTTTTTCTACTAAAATAGAAATCATCAACCTGTACGAAGCTATCAAGCTGTACATGATATCATTTTGTTGGGTTGCTTGTCCACCGAAATTAACATTTGAGTCAGCGCGAGTGAGATGTAAGTCGGGAATATAAACGTCGCTGCTTTGTGAACCTATATCTTACCAATGACGATATGTAGTTGGTGCAGAACAAGGTCCTCAAGGCGGAGAAGACCGCAAACAGGGGCTTGCACCGCGCCGCCTGCTGGCCTACCGACATTAGCACATGAGTCCTCCAACCGGCCGCATGAGATAGAAGACGGGATACATACATCGATGCTTTCTGCAACAATACGCCAATTTATAAAAGAAAAATACCTACACCGGTTAATATTGAAGGTTCCCACTGCTGAGGCGCAGGTTTTCTCTATAGGAAAATAAGAAAATGGGGTTTTGAGACCCCATGCAGATTGGTAGTATCGGCTACAGATGCTGCAGGGACCGGCAAGCACGGAGTAGTTCGAGATAATACATTTTCGGTAACTCCAAGAAAGTTGCTTAACTTCTATATCACTGACCGAATGCGCTAATTACTTACGCATTCGAGCTTTACCTTAATATGTTTTATGTCCGGGAACTATAACACCAGGTTAGCAGGTAATAACGTGATTATGTTCTCACGGTACTATCTGTCCTTTCAACTTACATTCTGGAGGCCATCAGAATGTACGATGGGTGACAGAGTAATATCTGGTTTTTAGTGAGTAGGGCTCTACTAATTGTTCTGAGCTACAGATTTGGAAAAAATAGACGGGAGGAGTCATTTAGGAGTATTGCTAGACCAAACCCTCACCTTCAAGTATCATCTCGATCTTCTAGCATCAAGACTACGAAAGATGACTTATATTTTTAGAAATCTGAGAGGTGTTGCAGAGCGGAAAATTATTAAAAATGTTTATTATGCGTTATGCCACTCTCTATTGGAATACTGCATCACCTCTTGGGGTGGGGCCGCAAAAACATACTTACTAACGATGGAGAGATCTCAGCGCATATTGCTTAAAGTGGCTGCAGGACTCCCATATCGCCATCCTACTGTAGAGTTACACAAAGTCTGGAACATTCTCTCTGTACGACAAATATTCGTTCTGAAAACCGTACTTCAAAAACATAGTCAGTTAACTTATGACCCCAAATTTGAACAGAAGAGGCGCAAAACTCAAGTCTACCCTTTACCCACTCAGAAAACCTCCTTTGCACAAAACTTCTTCCAGTTTCTAGGCCCATTCCTCTACAACCGAATAAATCATATCCTCCATATTTATTCTCGTCAAAAAACCCACTGCAAAACTGTCGTCCGCGATTATCTATTGACACTTGACTATGATACTACTGAAAACCTATTATGCCCTCTAAGATAAACCTGCAAACATGACGATATTCGTAGTTTTCACATGAGATTTTAATTTCGCCTCTGCAACTGTTGAAACTAATCATTCACACACGACTGCACACACACAAACATACACACACACACATACACTACATACATATCACTTACACAAAAAGAACGAAATCACACAAAAACTTACTATCACACACATACACGCCGCTTTTGGTTATTATTTTTATTTTTAGAAACTGGATAATTTTTCTAGCTTTCTATTAGATAGAATAGCTTTTCTTTGATTTTTGTTATTGTTTTTTCTTTGATTTTTGTTATTGTTTATTTATTTTCTTTTATTCAATGCTGTTGAAACAACAATGTATACATTTCAACTGTCCAAGGTATTGTATCATCCGTGGAAGTCTTGCTATCTGTGATTGGGCCTGGTGACCTGTAGCACAGGTTTCTATTGCTGAAACCTATTTCAGGCACCAGTTCATCACAAATATAGGAGCCACAACACTGGAATTGATATACATGACTAACTGTGAATCTCTGTTGTGATGGAAAATAAATATATTTTTGATTTGATTTGATTTGATATACACCGTGAATTTTGAGTTATCTGAGAAACTTAACCAGCTAATTAAGACAACAATTTAGAATACATTACCGCAAAAAACAAAACTGAAATTATTTTGTTCGAAAAATTTCTCCACGTTTACTCACTTTTTATGCAACTATGAAATCTTAACAATTTTATTTTTTGTATATTGATTCAAATAGAGGTACTTTTAGAATCCACCTACTTTAAACAGATAATAATTCCTAGATATGGGTATGTTTATTTACTAATTTGTGCCTTTTCAAGATATTTTGTAAACGATATGAATTCATATTTTTGTATGGGGGTGTAGTATATGTTTGCTGTTTATAACTGTTGGCACTATGTTTATTTACACGATTTTTAAGGTTTCTCGCGTAACACAACACGGTGTATGTATTTCTACATCTTGTTACGTGGGTAGACTTCAAACCTATAACCTTAAAAAATATTGTAATAAATCAAATAGTCTACAGTAGTTCCAGAACATGTTCTGTTCATTGTTACACTAGTTTCTGAGACAATAACAAGTTGCCGTATTTTCCTCCTCATCAAGAAAAAAAGAATAAACTTGGACTTATTACGTTGTTCGATTGTTACGTTGTTAGTTACACTGTTCGCTTATTAAGACGGGAGGCGGGCAATGTTTTTTTTTCATACAAACGTTCTCGACTGATTCCTCCTGGATTTTTATCACCAAAGAGTTGACTTTCATACACATAATATAATTTTACTGATTCTATGCTTCTATGTCTTCCTTTTTTCGATAGCTTGTGTTTCAAATCAACTAGAAGCCCTAATAAATGATATTTTTTTGACGTGACAACGTCTTAAATTAGGTTGCGGCTGGGAGTCACTTATGAAAATGTGTAACGCTCGGTAACGTTACGATGAGTCTCTCGTGTTAAGTTTAAGTTTACATGTACAATGTTTTAGTAAACAAAATATATTTCTATAGTTAAAATTTGTGCAATTCTTATTTTCATTCAATTCCTTGTTCCTATTGTGCAATTTAATTATATTCATATCAATAAATATTCTACCGAGAAAAAGACGTTGTCACGTAAAATCTTCGCCCGTAAAACCGACTTTACAGGCAACCATTTTTTTTATCACTACTAAAGATGTCTTTTGTGGAGATTTAATAAGCATTTACAAAAAGAAGTAAAACCATGAGACATAGCATAACTACTTAGTATTATATGGGTAAAATGTCTTTTACATACTTATATAACTTTATGGAAGAAGAGACAAAAGAGGAGACTACTACAGTTTTGTCAGAAAAATAAACTTTTTTTTTTAAATAGTTTATTTAAAAAGAAAACAATATATATATATATATACACATAATATAATAACAAACAGCAAAGAATTCTCAAATGAAGAGGTGATTTCGAGTTTTGACTTCCCTAGTCATCAGACTTATTAGAAGCAGTTTAAAGATTTCAATAATAAAGAAATGTTGAGCTAAGTTCACAAACAAAAACAACAACCTTAGCGAAACAGAAAAAAAAGAACAATTTAATAAGGTTCTGAGTACCAACCAACATCAATAAAATACAAATAAAAGAAAACTTTAATATAGAGTCTCTACATACTAAAATAAAGAAAGGAATAATCAATGGCTTGAATTCTGTTAAAACAATGAAACCTTTCAAAAATATATTAAAGATCTAATCATAAGAAGAAACGAATTAACAAAGAAGAAAAAAATAACTAAAGAAGAAAAGAAAGAACGTAGTTATCTGTATAAGAATATTGATAAACTAATTAAGAAGGAACGACAAGAAAACCGGATAAAAATTGTAGAAAATCATCTCTAAACATCAAGTAGCCTCAAAAAAGCTTTACGGACACTCGACAAAAATAAAGAATGTATTCCTTGTTTGAAAGACTTTTTAACTAATAACAAAACATTCTCTAGATCGAATATTATTGATATAGCAACATCATTATTTAAAAAGTTATATTCATCAAATGAATCAGACAGCATTACCCTACCTATCAATCAAGCCAATACCACCACTCTGGAAAGATTCTCTGCTAACGAGATTATGAAAAAATAGAACAAAAGCAGTGGCCCAGATGGACAAATGAAGCAATAAAATTGGGTAAATTTTTATTATTACCACATTTAACTAATTTATTCAACAACATTTTGGAAGCCAAGAAAATACCTAGAGAATGGGCTAAATCTGACATTGTGTAGCTCTATAAGAAAGAAGACCCTACCGATATAGGTAATTACCGCCCGATCAGCCTACAATCAAATCTGTACAAATTGTTTGCTTCGTGCATGGAAGAAAGATTAGCTACATACACAGAAAAAATCCAGCTCCCAGAACAAGTGGGATTTCGAAAAAACTTTTCAACTACAGATCACATGCACACCTTAAACCTGATCATGGAGCAATATATACAACATAAACACCCGCTCTACCTGGCTTTCATCGATTATGCAAAGACTTTCGACTCTATTTCCCATTGTAGCAAGTGAAAGGTTCTATATGAATGCGATGTACCTTCAGAAATGATTGACCTTTTGAAAGACATTTATAGTAAAAGCGTAAGTTGTGTAAAAATGGAAAAAAGGGTCCAAAAATAAATATTCAGCGAGGTGTACGGTGAGACTCTCACTCACCAAGAATCTTTGTGACTGTACTCCAAAGCATAATGAATAAATTGGATTGAAAAAGAAGAGGTATTTTTATAAACGGGGACTATTTGAGCAACCTTAGATTCGCAGATGACATCATACTATTCTCAGAAACGCCAATTCAACTGGAAAAAAAATATTAATGAACTGGTTAAAGTGAGTAGAGAATACGACAAAGACGAAAGTTATGACTAACCACCAAACAAGACCAATTAAAGTCGATAATATTTTATTAGAATATGTTGAAGAGTATGTATATCTGGGCAAGCAAATATCATTCTCGACGACCAGACATCAAGATGAAGTAAATAGGCGAATAAACATCACATGGAATAAGTTCTGGAGTTACAAAGAAATTCTGAAATCAAACCTCAAGTTTGACATCCATAGGTCAGACATGGCAATAAACATGAATCCACCACTTTTTTCTTTATCCATATAATAAATACATAAAAAATAAGATACAATTATGTCAAATGTCATTGGAAAGAAGTATGCTTAATATAAAAATACAAGACAGAATAAGAAATAATGATATTAGAAAAACAACAAATGTTATTGATGCTTTGGATCACTATAAAAAACTTAAATGGAGATGTGCTGGACACATTGCATGTATGAATAATAATAAATGGACTTATAAAGTGACCACTTGGAAAGGACTTCGACACAAAAGAAATAGAGGTAGACCAAAACAAAGATGGATAGATGAAATTAACGACGTGGCTGGTAGAGACTGGATCACCAACGCCAAAGATAGAAAAAAATGGAGTAAAATAGAGGAGGCCTTTACTAGCTGAGGGGTCCTTAATAAATAGAAAAATGTGTATTCACAAAAATATAATAGACATGTTTGTTATTAATTGACCTAATATTATTTGAATTGTACTGAATGATTGCCATGTATATTTAATATTTATTAAGGAAATAAAAAGGCTATAATAATAATAATAAAAAAATAAAAAATATAACTAGTTGTGCCCCGCGGTGTTACCCGCGGTTTATTAGGGATCTTTTCCCGCAGTAAAACGTAGCCTATGTGTTAATCCAGGGTGTCAGCTAACTCCATATAAAATTTTATTAAAATCGCTCCAGCTGTTTAGACGTGAAGAAGTTACAAACATACACACTCACAAACTTTCGCCTTTATAATATTAGTGTGATTTTCAAAGAGGAAATCGTCGAGAGCTCAACCTCGAATTTTGCACTTTTTATACGCAATTTTCAGCGTTAACTACTGTTGTCCCTAATTCGTGACAGCAATAGTTTTTTCAAATACCTATTCCTCAAAAGTCTCTCAGCTCGCGTCCGCTCTTAATACGTTCATTAATTTATCCAGCCATTACCAGTAAAAGGTATGCAAAAGAAATATTTTTGTTCCAGCATTTTACAATTGTTATTATCAGAACCTTTTTGACTAATTGACTTGTATCACTTTTCTACTTAAATAAGTTTCAGTAGGATTTAAACAATATTACTTATATCTAAAGAAAAGTTTACTGGAAAAAAATCCACGCGGACCAGGCAGCAGATGGGACTCGAACCCTTCGCTATCTGGGCGAATGCACTGATCATTATGCTACCGCGGCCCTGATGGCCGTGTCGAATTTTCCCTAGCCTTAGGCTGCAAGGCAGCGCCATCTCTTCGCATTGTAGGTAACCTATATCTAACAGTTAAATGCTTAAAAAATAAAAACATAACAACATTACTTAGTTTAAAAATACCTTCTGCGCTATGATGTCGCCTTGGTTATCTATGTAGTATTGAGCGGTGTGTATATGGCTCAGGGATATGTTCAGCTTTCTTCGGAAAGGCATCAGTTGAAGTTCCAGCTCCGTAAGTCTGTACACGACGTTGGCTCTGGCTTGTTCTAGAGGCTTTATGTTTGTCAAATAAAGCCTTTTTGTACGAGTTGCTTGAATAAAAACATATAACTGTCGTCAGTTTAAGGTTCAATTTTGCTTAGCAATGGAGCTCATTTCGAATGTAGCCGTTGTTTTCACTAATTCACTGTATCGGGAAAAGGTGGTTTCAAATAAAGCAGTTCGGCAACCTATCAAACAAGTAATCGTTACCAAGTAAACTAAGTTTATTTCAGTAATTGCTGTTTTAATAATTTCAAAAAGTTTACCTTATAGTTTTAAACTACAGTAAAATACTATTACATTTTGTTGGTGTTATGTTTTTGTGTCAATCATAAAGATGTCCAGGGCTTCACGGAGTAGAGAATGGGGTCAGGGTTGACAAAGCGCTAATGAAACTGTACTATCACAAGCGTCTATAGGCTGTGCTGGCCACTTATAGTGATCTACTCATCATCTTCCTATTAATGTTCCCACTGCTGGGGCACAGGCCTTCCTTATGGATGGAATAGGGAGATGGGGCCTTGACCCGCTACGCGGGTCCAGTGCGGATTGGCGAGTGCTAACGACTGCAGATGCAGCCGGGACCAGGGGCTTAACGTGCCTTCCGAAGCACGGAGGAACTCGAGATAGAAGATTTTAGGTCACCCATCCAATGACCGACCACTGCGAAAGTTTCTTAACAGCAACGATCGCAGCCGAATGCGTTAACCACCTGCGCCATCGAGCTTAACTCATACTTAAACTAATTTTCCGTCCGTAAATATTAAAAAAAACATCTCATTTTAATGAGCATATCTTCATTTATACCTAATGATAAACATAAACTAGGATGTAGATATATCATCTTGTAGTCGACGATTATATAGAAACCCATGAATGAAATAACCAATAATAATTATTTACGAGCCATCAAGGACACGCGCAGTAGTTAAATTAAAGGCCAATACAACCTAAACTTGAACCACAATTTCCTAGAATGTTGCCTTTAATCATTAAACTAATTACGAAAAGTGTTTCCTTCTTCTAATTTAATATGTAACTTATGAAAGAGCTGTAATGAAATATTATGTTTAAGAGGAAAATGTATTAAACAACAAAATTTCCCATCGACTAACTGTTGCACAGTTTGGCAGAAAGTAAAAGTTTAAATCATCAATATTATTCTGCTTTGTTCCCAAATTTATTAGGGGTCGGTAATATTTCTTTCTTGTGCTTACTCGGCGAGCAGCCGTCATCTCAATTGTTCACTCCTTTTTTGCTATAATTATTACCTTTCGCAGAGTCTATTCATCATTTCTTTTGTGTTCATCGTTTTGGTACTCGTTCATATACATTTATTTAGTTATTATGATTTGTCACATGCTTATATTATATTTTTCTACATATATTTTGTACTACAAAGACGATTTACCACTCTATTTTCAGTGACTGATAAACATTGGTACGATATTTATTTCTGGGTATGACATTACATCTGTTATTAGGTATGTTGGTATGACCTCACTTTGCTCTGCTGTACATAGAGGTACTAGGCATAATACCTTTCTTCATAATTATTATGTTTCTAGCAATAGGCTTTACCGTTGGCTTTTCTAACGACTACTATATATTATAAATGTTTTTCGTTTCTTCCTTAAAAGTTCCAATAAATTAGTACCTTCCTAAATTAAAAGTTTACCTAAAGTCTCCAAACGGCCTGCTGTAGTGAGGTCTGATATCTGAGCGGCTATATTCTGCAACTGGTCAACTAGAGACGGTAAATCTCGTCCCATTATTGGCATATTGTAGTTCATTCTGAGAAATACAACAATAAAATATAATTCAAAATATCTTTATTCAAAATGGTGGTGGGTTTTGTGGTGTTGTGTTTCTGTATGTGAGTAAGGTTCTAGGGCTCCACGGAGTAGGGGATTGGGTCAGAGTAGACAACGGCGCGAGTGATTTTTTTACTACCCGAGATACTGGATATAAATGCCAACAACATTAAAAAGAAAATAATAATCTATCAACTTAAAAAAACTTATCACGAGAAATGTAAATAAGATTTCATTATCTTTTCTTCATCCATCCATTTGATATATAATAAATAAATAATTACGAAAGACAAAAAAAAAATTTTTTTATTGATATGTCCGACAAATGACCCCACCCCACCTGATGTTAAGTGACGGTGAAGTCCAGACGCGAAGATAGCTGATACAGCAGTGCTACCTGCTACCTGTCACACCAGCCATCCTCACCCTGCCGGCCTGCATGTTGCTGCTTCACGCCTCTTTTAAAGGACCCCAGGTTGAAAGAGTAAGGGAACACGTGAGCGGGCAGAGCGTTTACTTACGGATAGTGAGACAAAGAAATGAGTCACCAAACTTTTTTGTACGCGATGGAATAGTGATGACAGTAAGTCGGTGGCAACGTAGGCCAGCGGTGGTGGTCCTCTGTAGGAAAGGGGAAGGTGGAATAAGAGAGAATAACTTCTCAGAACCCTCGCCTTAGTACAAACGATAGAACGCGCTTAATGACGCCACGTCACGGCGTAATAGAAGAAGCTCGAGGTGTTTAGTCACCTCCTCATCGTCTATGATGTGGATCGCGCGCCGCTGTAACCTATCCAAAGCATCGAGCAGGTACTTGGCGGAGCCATCCCAGAGGTGCGAGCAATATTACACGCAAGACCGCACCTGCGTCTTATACAAATAAATAAAACAAGGAAACTCGCTATCTTCTTTTACATACGTTGCCGCCTGCGCATTTGGCATTGTATAGAATACCTAGGCAAAGTTTAAAATAAATAATATTTCATTTATTGCCTTGACGTTTTAGGTATTCTATAAATTTCCTAGGTTTTGTATACAATGACGGATTTTATAGATTGCATTACAATAAAATGAATGTACATTTGTTTCTTATGATCTCGTTATCTATATTACAATGTTGCACGCAAATCTGCTGGTAACATTGAACTTTAAGTAAATAACTTACAACTTACTTACTCGACCAATAGTACAACATAATTCGCCGATCAACATATCTAGTCCCAAGCTACCGTAGTGCCATTAAAGTGTAGTAGTCAACCTTTCATATAAATTCACCTATATTGCTATTTTATTTATTTATTTAATATTTATTGCCTTTACAATGCCAATGGCGCACCGGAAAGAAGGTGCAGAGAAAATGAAACGGCAGACAACGAACAGAGTAAACATCAAACAATGATAAAAACGAAATTAAAAAGCATTAATTGCTAATACCTACACATACATACATATATAAGAATACATTTTAGCAAAATATATAATACACACAAATATATACATACATTAATGTTGTCACTCACCTAATAGTTTTGGTCGTGTAGTATACACGAATAATTTTGTGCGAATTCACACTCAGCCCCTCTAGCATGACCACCGAAACGGGATATGATAAAGCGATATATCGGCATTAACTGTCAGACTGCTATGGAGTTTGACAGTAGTCTGACAGTTAATTTCGATATATCGCTTTATCATATCCCGTTTCGGTGGTCATGCTAGAGGGGCAGGTGGTACAATTGGTCGACTAAATGCGAAATGTAGTAATCAATCAATCAATCAATCAATCATTTATTTATTTTTCTCTCACATGAAAATAAAGTTCATTATAGTATACCACTTGTGGTTTACAATATGTTATAGTATTGTGAAAGACTGGTGCCTGAATTAGGTTTCAGTGAAACCTGTGACACAGGTCACCAGGACCCTCCCGCTGACTACATACATCATAAAAAACAGGGTATGACGTGACTTGAGGCTTAAGTAATGTTAGGTATAATTTAAAAAAAAAAATTGCTAATTTTAGGTAACTGTCGCAGAGTACATTTACATATTAAATATTTAATTTATATCTATATACCTACATATATAAAAGTACACAAATTACACAATATAAACAATATTAATATTAAATTAGCTATTTAAATGTTTCCACAAAAAGAATTCGTTCATGCAAAAACAGAACCTCAGTGATAAAATAGATATTGATTAGGCTATGTTAAGTTCAATTTTTGACTAAATGTACAATATCTTTATTTTTCCATTAATTTTTTTTGAGGTGATTTTTAATTTTAAAAACCAAAAACTTTTTACACTACACGTGTATAAAGTAAAGTAGCTTTCAAGTATTAAATTCAGTGTTTGTGTGGATCAGTTTTTATTGGGGAGTTCAAATTCTAATTCCTTCAATTCGCTTACCTATATTTGGCTAAATTCACATCTGAAACTATGAGCATCTGATTAAGAAGCCTGTGGAAATTCATCGAAATACTTTTCAGAAGGCCCACGTCTATGGATGACGTGAGCCTGCTCAAATCAGCTTGAAGTTCTGCCCATTCGAAGTAAGATGTTTCTTTGTTCACGTCCAATACTTTGTCCAACTGAAAAACAATGTAAGCTGGCCTATCTCTCTCGCATTCCCTGAAAATATTTGATTGTTACATTAGAATGTCAATATCGTAAGTTATTGAGCGCATATTTTTTAAATGCGGCATTCAACATATTCGGCCGACATAGTCCTACACATATAAAATAGAGAATGTCACTCAGGTAATTAAGGTAAAGTATTGGGTAATAGTTTATGAGACAGATAAGTTTAATCTAAAAATATGAAAACTAGGCAGAAAGCCTAAGGGTAGTATCTTAATAATTTTGAATATTATCTCTATATTATGCACGGAAGTAGATGCAGATATCCTTCTAGAATATTTCCTAACTACTTTGAAATAACCTCTTAAATGGCGCATTTTATACATATTTTTTCTTACTTAATAGTAACAACGAATGACGTTGTTTTTAATCGATAAATAAAGTTCTAAGTAAGCCATTTCAAATATAAAGATGCAGTCAGACTACGCTATAGCAGCCTAAGAAATATTAGAGGAAATCCGACACGGCCATCAAGGTCTCGTTAGCATAATTGGTTAGTGCGTCCGCCCGGATAGCGGAAGATGCGGGTTCGAATCCCGTCTTAAAACTGGAGAAGTTTCTTTTCTAGTAATGTTTTTAGATTCAAACGCGAGAATCTTGTCATTGAACTCAATCAGGCTTTGGACCACATTTCTGAATGGGGTACCAGGAACTTGGTTGAGTTCAATGCCAAGAAAACTCAGGCTTGCGCTTTCACGGCAAAAACATCGTCATTCCTTCCCCTTCCATCTCTTCAGGGCACAACACTACCGCTGCAGAGCAACATTTCCATGCTCAGTATGGAAGTTCGCTCAGACCTGAATCCAAAGAACTACATCGAAACCGTGATCAAATCAGCTTCACGCAAACTCGGAGTCCTGAACAAGGTGCGGCGTTTTTTCACGCCCGATCAACTGTGCTTGTGGTACAAAACGCAAGTGCGGTCCTGCGTGGAATATTGCTCGCACCTCTGGGATGGCTCCGCCAAGTACTTGCTCGATGCTTTGGATAGGTTACAGCGACGCGCGATCCGCATCATAGGCGATGAGGAGGTGACTAAACACCTTGAGCCTCTTCAATTACGCCGTGACGTGGCGTCACTAAGCGCGTTCTATCGTCTGTACCACGGCGAGTGTTCTGAGGAGTTATTCTCTCTTATCCCACCTTCTCCTTTCCTTCAGAGGACCACGCGCGCTGGCCTACGTTGTCATCGTCTAACTATGGCCACAATTCCAACGCGTACAAAGAAATTTGGTGACTCATTTCTTTGTCGCACTATCCGTAAATGGAATGCTCTGCCCGCTCACGTGTTCCCTCCCTCTTACAACCTGGGATCCTTTAAAAGAGGCGTGAAGAAGCAACATGCAAGCCGGTAGGGTGAAGATGGCTGGTGTGGCAGGTAAAACTGCTGTATCAGCTATCGTCACGTCTGGACTTCACCTTCACTTAACATCAGGTGGGGTGGAGTCATTTGTCGGACCTATCTATAAAAAAAAAAAAAAATTCAAACACTTAGTAGGTAAATGCTTAATATAGGGGTGATGGCGGGGTACAGTAAACGAAATTCTTTTTAGTCCGTCAGTTAGATGATCAAAAAATAATGGACACGTATTTTTTATTTGGGCAATCAACCAAAAAATGACAAAGTTATAGCGCGTCAAAGTTTGGGAGTAGGGGCTCGTGACGTCACTTTTAAGGGAAAATTATCATATCATTATATTATATTATAATATATAATTATAATTACTACCAAAACGTGACGTCATGCGACTTTTCAAATCAATATATCTCTGCAATGTTTAGTTTATGTGAAAAAAGAAAAAATACGTGTCCAATACTTTTTGATAATCTGCCTGATAAACGAAGAAAAAAAAATAGTCATCATCCCTCTTATAATTATCTACGCTATACTACATATATAGAATTACAGATTATAACTCACGTCGCATCGCATCGCCATCACCTATAATGGTAGTCAACCGTATTGGACGTGTTTAAGTGATATTGACATGGATCGCAAAAATATTGTTGAACTGCTGTTATTGTTAAATAGATATAGAAGAAAAAGAATATTTTGGATTCATCCATTTATTACAATTATGAACGCAACCATCATACTATTTTACTCGAAATTATTATGATTTAAGATACGAATACGATAATATTATGATTATTTAAGAATCAGCATAGCTTTATTTGAACTACTTTTATAATCACCATGTTTACAAAAACGATCGTACAAGGAAAGTCTCAGGGTTGACTAAAATGTTGCTACCAAGTGAGACGTAATATCGCAGGAATGCGCGATGCGAATCAGATCGGAAGTTTTTGCGGTGCATTCTTGCGAGCTCGCAGATATTTGCGATGCGATGAGAATTCGCAGTTATGTGTGTCGCACTTAGTACTATATTATATTGGTTTCCTTTGCACTAGTAGTCTCAGCGCATCTTTATGTTCGAAATAGTTTACTTAGAACTTATCGATTGTGAGACAGTCCTTCAATAACTTTATTTAATAATACTGTTAAATTCAACCTTAAAACATCCTTGATTGAAACATCGACGGTGACATTGTCGAGCTCTCTGAAGAGGGCGTCGAATATTCCTTCATCATTAGAGAGGAGCGGCGAAGGTTTGTCTAAGAGAGCTGTCAAAGTTTCGTACTGCGGCTTGTCCCATAGGGCGTGGCATACGTACACCTGTCAATAACAGATAACTCGTCAAACGTGGTACGATAAGTCGATGATCAATTTATTAAGTTATAATGTATTAGTGAATTTATGTTGTAAATGTTTGCTTAAGTGTTGTGTTATATAATGTAATTTATAGTATTTTATGACTTCTATACTAATACTGCCTCTGACAAAAATTTCAAAAGATAAACAACAATAAGGAAAGGAAATAAAGTCGTAAAATACTCAAAATTAGACATCTGGCATTTGATTTGTTTAATGTCCAAGTAAAGAAAAAACCAGATTTTGAAGTTATTGCGTCAGTTTAGTTTCATAGCTGGTGAATGATTCTTTACGTTGCACTTTACGGAACACTCTAGTTCGAGACGTAATAATTTTCAACACATCTATTGAGGAGCTCGATGGCACAAGTGGTTAGCGCGTTCGTCTGCGATCGTTGAACTTAAGCAACTTTCGCAGTGGTCGGTCATTGGATGGGTGACCAAAAATTACTATCTTGAGCTCCTCCGTGCTTCGGAAGGCATGTTAAGCCGTTGATCCCGGCTGCATCTGCAGTCGTTAGCACCCACCAATCCGCACTGAGCCCGCGTGGTGGGTAATAGCCCAATCTCCCTATTCCATCCATAGGGAAAGCCTGTGCCCCAGCAGTGGGGACACTAATAGGCTGATGATGATGACATCTATTGTAGCAAGTTTCACAGAACTTGGTTCGAAATACGAAGTTTAATTCTTTATTTTACTAAGTATAAGTATTCATGTCTTTATTTTTTCTTTTAAATATTATATTTAGATGAAACATGAACTAGTGTAAAGTTGTGGGTACGAACTATTGTTAATGCAGCCGGGACCAATAGCTGAATGTGCCTTCCAAAGTGCGGAATAGAAGGAAAGTTGTTGTCACCCAACATATAACTGCAATATATTACGCTAGTTGCTTAACTTCGCTGTGAGTAAAAAGTCTTCGAGAATTGCCTACTAATATTTAACAGCAAAGATTAATCCGTGCATCATAGTATCTTTTAAAATATAAGGAGAGCAGTATGTTTTATTTTAATCTTTAGCTTAAGATATTTATTTATACCATAGAAATACATTCACGTGTTTTTATTTAATTTAATTTAATAATGTTTTTATTTATAATTAATTTAATTTTATATTTCTAATTTTTATTAATGAATTGTGAATGTCTTAATCTCATTAAAATTGTTATTATTGAATTCTATGTTAATGTACTTATTAAAATTTTGAATTTTTAATGTATGGTTGCTGTGTACTTGATAAACATGCTGTTTGCACATGCTAGTGGAGTTCAGTATTTTTTTATCAATTGTTTTTCTATGTGTCATTTATCATTTTGCTTACTGTAACTCTGTTTTGTGCAATAAATAAATAAATAAAAAAATTCTGGCATGATTCTATTGACTCAGGACTGGATTTGGCATCGGTCACTCTTTTTCACTCCCTATACGTAGTGACAGGGTTACGTTGCTATCAGGTTAAAGTTTGCGTTTGGTGGGTCGTGCTGGAATCGACGCTAGTATAATGCATAATAAGTTCTATTTATAATGAGTTGTCTTTTGTATCTTTTTGTTCTTTTGTAAAATTATATGTATAACAATTTGTCTGTATCCGTGTTCTGTGCTGAATAAATGATTTTGATTGATTGATTGAGATAACAAATTCAACACGTCTGCCCTGTCTAAAATATTGATATGAATACTTACCTCTGCGTGTCCTGTTATTAGAAAAGTTACTGAAATGGCACCCCACAGAAAAAGAGATGAGAAACACAGCCATACAGCCGATCTGAAAATTTAAATAATTTTATTGTTTATTAAATGAATGTATGTTGTATGTTTATTCAATGTGATAGTAATAAAAATTAGACCCATTCGGAGTTGGGTCTTAGTTTTAGTCTTGAAACAGTAATAATAATATTATTTATTATATAACACCACAAAGGAAACAAAAGTAAGATCACATTGACAGAGATACATAAAATAATGTGCCTTATCGACTTAAAAACTACAAATCCTTCTTCTTCTCTAAACTTCTCTACTTCTATGCCGCTTGATACATCCCGCAAAGTTGAAAAATTGCAATTTCTTTCTAATTTGCCGAGTCAAGATTCTTCTTTTTTCTTACATCAGTTTGCCGACTGTGATGTTAAGAGAACTATACAAAATATTTATTCTAGAGCAGTTGGTTGTAATTCTATTAGCCGGAAAATGATTCTTCCCATCCTTGACATTTTAACTCCCATTATTACCCGCATCCTAAATACTTCTATTTAGACCGGAGTTTTTCCTGCATCTTAAGAGGATGCAAATGTTATCCCAATTCCTAAAAAAAAAAACAATCCTGCCTGATTTTCTGAATATCGTCCCATTTCTATCCTTCCCTTTCTTTCCAAAGTTCTGGAGGAACTAGTTTATCGTCAACTGACAAGTTTTCTTAACTAAAGCCAACTTCTAAACCCCTTCCAGTCTGGTTTTCGAACCGGTCATAGCACTACTACTGCTTGGCTTGCTCTTTGGATATATTATTCATTATTTATTTTACCATACCTGTAACACCCCCTTTCTTGTTCCTCTTATTTATTTATTTCACTGTCATGGGTTGCCTGGAAGAGATTGCTGGTTAGCAATAAGGCCGCCTATTGTGTACGTTTTCACTGTCATGTTTAATGTCTTGTATTTCCTGTGAGGTGTATGTCAATAAAGAATATAATTATTATTAAATCCTGTCCGTTATTATCACAGGTTAATAAACTTCTCCTATGCGCGAGAAAGTTAACAGCTGGGCATGTGTTTATTTTTCTTTTGACTTTGTAACTATAAGACAAAATTTGTGCTACTTAGTACCTTAAATACTATGATAGGTACTTACAATTGTAACGTCCGTTTACCGTGATCTTTGGCGTGGCCACATCCACACATCATGGCAAAGACGATCAAAGACATCACGAAAGCGAATGTTACTACGCAAGCTGAAAATATAAGGTACATAAATAGGTAATCGCTTATTTAATAGGCCTTCGTTAAAGGCTAGACTCGATTTAAGGTTTTTAAGAGGAATATCATAACGGAAATTCCGCTCGAATTAAAGTTCCCGTCTGGGAAAGTTACCCAAAAGTAAGTTAAAGGTAAAGTGACCTTAAAGAAGAAATAACACTATCTTTTATTGGTGGTCTTGTTTCTGTCGCTGAGTAAGGTTCCAGGGCTCCACGGGGTAAGAAATGAAGTGACAGTAGGGTAGGCATAGGCGCAACTGATACTTTGGTATCGCTAGTGTCTATATTATTCTAAAATCGTGACCTAATTTTTCTTTATTTATGCTTTACGTCGTTCCAGTTAAAATATTTTCCATTTTTAGGGATCCGTAGTCCTGACAAGTGACGTCATGTCCGTCTGTTTGTCCGTCCCCGGTTTTGCTTGGAGACTGTTAGCACTAGAGAGCTGTTATTTTGTAAAGATATGTATATCGATCATGCAGACAAAGTGGTAGAATAAAATTTTGTAAAAAATTTTTTTAGTGTAGCTCCCCCCTCTAAAAGCTAAATTATTGGCTTTAAAATCCTGGAAAAATTCATGGTAATAGCTTTTTATGAACTTTCGAAGAAAATTATAAGGGTTAAAATAGATTTGTTACTTTACGAGTAATAGCCACTCAAGTTATGTACATATTAGAAAATTTCTGACCTAATAAACATTCTTTAGAAGAAAATATTAAATGTGACTTAAACAAAGTAACTGGTTAAAATATAGACTCTTTCCATAATAAATAGTGGTGACGAAGGGCAACTACGGAACCCTACACTGAGCGTGGCACGACACGCACTTGGCCGGTTTTTAAAAATATTGAGTCTCGGACGAAATTGATTGAATTCTATTCTCATGATTTCTGTAACTCAAGTGCAGAAAAACACAAGCGCTGCATACTTCAATATTAAGTGAATACTGAAGTTTGCAGCGCTTGTGTTTTTCAATCAAATTTTGCTAAAGAATAATCCACTCGACACAAGTGTCAGTCAAGCTGGATTCGAAATACCCCCTTCGCTATTCGGGCACTGGTTGAAATCCAGCTTGACGTTTGGGCCAAATACAATATTTGTAGCAAAAAATTCTTTAGATTTTGACTACTACATCATTCAGAACTATACCTATTTAAAGTCATTCACAAGTTAAACATGTATTACCCAACATTAGAGTCTATCTCCAGTAGTCGTATCTCTGCACCCGGTCCGGACCTGCCTCTAGTTGCCTTGCGACCGAGTGTAGACGCATCGTGAGATGGCATGACCACTATATCATTCAGAACTATACCTATTTAAAGTCATTCACAAGTTAAACATTTATTACCCAACATTAGGGTCCACCTCTAGTAGTCGTATCTCTGCACCCGGTCCAGACCTACCTCTAGTTGCCTCGCCACCGAGTGTAGACGCATCGTGAGATGGCATGACCACTATATCATTCAGAACTGTACCTATTTAAAGTCATTTACAAGTTAAACATTTATTACCCAACATTAGGGTCCACCTCTAGTAGTCGTATCTCTGCACCCGGTCCAAACCTGCCTCTAGTTGCCTCGCGACCGAGTGTAGACGCATCGTGAGATGGCATGACCACTACATCATTCAGAACTATACCTATTTAAAGTCATTCACAAGTTAAACATTTATTACCCAACATTAGGGTCCACCTCTAGTAATCGTATCTCTGCACCCGGTCCAGTCCTGCCTCTAGTTGCCTCGCGACCGAGTGTAGACGCATCGTGAGATGGCATGACCACTACATCATTCAGAACTATACCTATTTAAATTCATTCACAAGTTAAACATTTATTACCCAACATCAGAGTCCACCTCCAGTAGTCGTATCTCTGCACCCGGTCCAGACCCGCCTCTAGTTGCCTCGCGACCGAATGTAAACCCGTCGTGAGGTGTCGCACTATATCATTCAGAACTTTCGCCGAGGCGTGGACAGCTTGCCGACGAGTCTCGATGTCGTTCACTATGTCTAGTATATAACAAAACACAGAATTAGCACAGTAGGTAACTATTAAATTTCATCGTTATTTAAGCACACAGTCTGTACAATAGATCCATGGCTAACAATTCCTCATTTGACATTGGTTGCATTTAAGATGCCAACCGAAAACAATAGTGATGTAAACGCTAATGAAAATCACTTTTTAGAAGCTTTTATTTAACTTGCTATGTATGTTTGTTAAGGTCAAATCTTACAACTCAATTTTAAAGCACTTGCCCTCAACCGATTAAGCTGAAATTTGGTATGCTCGTTCAGTTCGGATGACAATGCATGATTAACAGTGTGACGTCATTCTAAATCCAATATGGCGGCATACCCAAAATGGCGGACCAATCATTTTTAATGCATTCCTACAATATGGGTATCAAATTAAAGGGCTTGCTGAGAGTAACTCGAAAAAATGTAACGTCACTCTCAATCCAATATGGCGGACTTTTAAACGCGTTCAGTTTGTTTGACAATGCATACTTAATTGTGTGACGTCATTCTAAATCCAAGATGGCGGAACACCCAAAATGGCGGATATTTTTTTTCTTTTTAGCGCATTTGAATAAAAGCTTGTTTTTAAAAAGGTTTTTTTAACCTTAATTTTATTTCAATTTAGAATGGTTAAGTACTTATTCTAGTTCATCGAACTCCTCGGGAAATGTTTAATTATTATTCCGCCTACCTATTAATGTTTCCACTGATGAAGCACAGTTCTTTTCCTTTTGGATAGAATAGAAAGATTGGGCTTTGATCTTACACTTAGGTCCTGTGCTGATTTGGGGATGCTATAGTCTGCAGGTGCAGCCGGAACCATTTTCCTAACGTGCCTTTTGAAGAATGGAGGTGATAGTAAATTTTTGTTCCACCTATCCTGAGATCAGTCATTGCTAAATTGTTATAAATCCAAAATCTTGCCATGATTACATCGAAATACTTCAATGCAGATATTAGTTCCAACTGAGTGACGAAAAGTGCAGCGACAGACCTTTCCTAGCGTGTATAGTTTGAGTAGTTATAGCGGACGGCAGTGTTCTGAACTCCTTCCTAGCAGCTGCTATAGCTCGCGTCAAGTTCTCAACACCCAAGGAGCGAAGCTGCAGTAACTGCTTCTCGTGAAGTATCTGTCGATATTTTAAATATACGAACTTAGGTTTCAAGCATTTATGATAGTTTTCTTTAATATCACGAATAATAATAGAATAAGTAACATAAAGACATCAACTAAATTTAAAGCCTCATTCATTTACATGTTCTTGTCTTGATACATTGTTGTTATGTTGATGAAGGAAAACGAGCTAGAATTATTCTTATTCTGTGGCAAAGAAAGAGCTAGCATTTACTTTGATTAAAGTTAAAGTTAAGTAGATCCGCAACCCAATAGTATCGGATTCGATCTAATAACATTTCTGTACAATATAATAATAGCATTAATTTTATTAATTATGGTAAAAAAGATAGACTAGGCTTTTTATAAGAACTTTAGATATACCAAATATAGATATTAACTGTGCTTAACACCATTGCTATATTAGAAAAATCTAAAATAATTTTGCAGATCTATAACAAGTTAGTATCAGTAATAAGAAGTTTTTCCCACTTACCCATTCGAATCTGATTTGAAGCTCCAAGGAGTTTGTATTGACAGTATCGCAAAGAGGAGTATCTTTAACAGTGCAGTATTTCTTCAGATTGTCTAGCTGAGAAGCCAGGTCCTTGACCCGGTCTGAGGCGGCGGCCGCCAGCGACCCGGCCTTCACACTCACGTCACGCAAGGAAGATATCTTCTTTGAGAGATCTTCGCTTTCTGGAACAATACTTTACCCTTTACTTGGAATAAAACAAGCTCTTCTCAATAATTCGGGAATTCTAAATGGTTCATATATCAAACGGCTTTAGAATTAAGTTTGAACAATACATTACTGAGAAAATGTTATCAAAGACTACAAAAATCAACTTTTAAAACTTCGAAGGTTCTTCATATTTCTTCATCAAAACAATCATAAATATCCAAGATTGAAAAGCAACTCCAAGTTTGCGTTGTTCAAACGAATTGATGCGAGTAGCATAGCTTCAAATAAAACAAAGAGGAATGTAACTTAAACGGAAGATTTGTTTCAATAGAAAACGCAATATTTGGAAGATTTTAATAAAACTGACGCTTACTGCGCGCTCTGAATTATTCGTGTTCTTTTATTGTTTAAATATTTACTGCCTCCTTATTTTTACCTTTATAGCACAAGAAACGGTGCAGATTACCGTCTAATTGTGTCAGATATTGTCCATCATTCAACCTAAAGGTTAATGTGATAAAGAGCCATGTTTATGTAAATTTTAAAAAATATGACACGATTTACGAAGAAGAGTATTACTAGAAAGTTTTGTTTAAAAGCTTCTAATTTTAATATGAGATTTTTACACACGTTAATAAGCAAAAGTATAAGAGAAAGATTATTGTAAATTAGATGGCCGAGGTGGACAGGTGATTACCAAGTTGTCGATTCAAATTATGACATAGATTTATATGTTATTAAACAAATAATAAAAACAACAATTACTTATGTGTTTTCTACTTTTGTTCGAACTGTTTGTTTATCGGTAAACTTACCAACTTTTAGATAATTCCCTATTGCGGAAAATCCGATTGATTTAGTTAACGTTGATTGTGTCGCCAGTGCAGAGATTGTAAGTACTTTATTTACTTCTACTTTAATATTTTTTCATCTACTATTGTATTAATCATGATAACTACCTACAATAGGAAATTAAGTGAGTGATAAAAAATTAATTCAAAAGAATTGACTACTTCTTAGAACAGTTTTGAAACTTGTGGATATTTGAAAGATAACTAATAATCAATTGAATGCCAAAGTAAAAATTCAAAGTAAAATATAATAATAATATCACAATGAAATTCGACCCTCTACTAAGCTCCCATGAGTTGCTGGCTCTCATGACTTGATTCCCATTTATTGTAATATAATTTACCTGCTATAATATCAGCCAAAGAGTCGAATACCAAGTCGATGCCGCTCTCCGATGCTATGGCTTGTTGTATAGGCTCCCCTAAAAGCACCTCGATATCTGGAATTACGTTATTAGGAGTTTAGTAAAACTTACACTTACAATCCTACTAATATTATAAACGTGAAAGTTATGTTTGTTACTCAATCACGCAAAAACTACGGATCGGAACGGTTTGTATGAAATCTGGTACCAAGCATAGTTTATGACTTGTATTGAGACAAAGGATATTTTCATCCCGGATTTTTTTAGAATCCCACATCTTAAAAAAATCATTAAACGGGCGAAGTCGTGGGAGGTCGGTAAATTCATATTTCATTTTAAGCATTCATAAATCTAACGGATTTCTAAGATCTCATCTGAGCTGAGTACTTACAATTTTATGTAGTAAAATTTTCTTAAAACCTGTAATATAAAATATGTTGGTACATTGTAATTAATGTAAAAAAAAAACTCTCAATTAATATTTTGAAATTTATGGGCACGTAATTTTTTATACCAGGTTTGTTAAGAATTTATTAACGAAACCACCATTACAATATCAGCAGATAGTTGCAAAGTAACTATTTATGTTGGTATGCTGCGAAATCCTTTAGTTCATTACGGAAAGCCGAGGAATACGGCATCACAGTACGCGATTCCACAAGCGAAACACTTGTGACTTCCTTTCGTTAGTGATTCGTCAAAGGTGGAGAATCAAACAGCTTTGATGCGGATAAGTAGGGGATTTTTCCATAGCTCCAGCGTTAGTTGGAGGGTTTTCGCAAGGCAACAATGTCGGTACAGACTATCACACATCACCACACACTGTAAAATTTTCTCAAAAGATTGAGAAACATAAGAAAAGCAAAATAAATCTCGTAACCAGTTGCAGGACTTTTGGTTGCAAGTATAGATAGATGCTTTAATTTGGGATCCGTTTTATTGAAATTTGGTTTAAACATTCGCATTGAAATAAGGTCGAAATCTTCGGAAAAATATGTATAGCGTTGAAAAGTCAAGTTAAAGTGCATATAATTTCCTTTTTATTTTTGTCACTATGATCATTATGGCAGTGTTGCACAAGGAAATCATATTGACAGTCTAAGAAAATGTAATGAAATTCAATATCTTTTATTAAGTTATACTGTTTTTTTATAAAATAATACCCATGACCAATATCAGTAAGAACAGTTGGCAATGAAAAGTAAGTTAATTGATTAAGAATTTTCGTACGTTCCTCAGGTCTGTAAGGTTGGCGCCTAAACTGAGTAGAAGTTGTTACGACTGACATAATTTATACAGTGCGTTGTTATAGCAATGTATTCGGTCAAGGAAAAATTTGATGCCAAATTAAAAAAACGTGACTGTACATCAATTTCTGCAGGTAGGACAAAGGTCTTACTTACTCTTCAGATCTTCTCTGTAAGCGTGCAGAACTAGATCGACCGGTGGTATAAGGCTGTGGTGTAGCTCCCGCGCCGCAGCTACTAGCCACGAGGCGATGTCAGCGCATTCCCAGTGTATCACGTTGAAGTTCAAGTTATAGTTTATTCTTCTCTCTCCAAACTACTAAGTTTAACATGCCTTCTGCTACTAGGAGTAGCTCCAATTGAAAAAAAGCAATTATCCATCCGATCTCTTGCTCAACTTTTAAGATACGAACTCTGTACCCGCTACTTTCCGCTACCCTAAAGAGCTCCTCCAATCAGGAAGCGTACAGGATAAAGCTCTTACTCTTCAAATCTTCTCTGTAAGCGTGCAGGACTAAATCGACCGGTGGTATCAGGCTGTGGTGCAGCTCTTACGCCGCAGTTACCAGTCACGAGGTGAAATCGGCGCATGCTCATTGCTCACTACTCACTGCTATACCTGGGGTATTAGAAAGCTTAATCGTATACGATTAACGTTTTACTCTTCCAATTTTGTCTTTAAGCGTACAGGACTAGATTGACCGACGGTATGAGGCTGTGGTGTAACTCCTGCGCCGCAGTTACCAGTCACGAGGCGAAGTCGGCGCACGTGCAGTGTATCACGTTGTGGCTATCTTGCTCATTGCTCACTGCTAGACCTGGGGTATTAGGACGCTTACTCGTATACGATTAAGGTTTTACTCTTCTAATCTTGTCTTTAAGCGTACAGGACTATATTGACCGACGGTATGAGGCTGTGGTGTAGCTCCTGCACCGCAGCTACCAGCCACGAGGTGATGTCGGCGCACGCGCAGTGTATCACGTTGCGGTTCACCATCGTCGCCCAGTCAGCCTATACCTAATATTAGTAATATAATATAAAGGTCTTACTTTTCAGATCTTCTCTGTAAGCGTGCAAGACTAGATCGACCGGTGGTATGAGGCTGTGGTGCAGCTCTTGCGCCGCAGTTACCAGTCACGAGGCGAAGTCGGCGCACGCGCATTGTATCACGTTGTGGCTATCTTGCTCATTGCTCACTCCTCACTGCTATACCTGGGGTATTAGGACGCTTAATCGTATACGATTAAGGTTTTACTCTTCCAATCTTGTCTTTAAGCGTACAGGACAATATGGACCGACGGTATGAGGCTGTGGTGTAGCCCCTGCCCCGCAGCTACCAGCCACGAGGCGACGTCGGCGCATGCGCAGTGTATCACGTTGCGGCTCACCATCGTCGCCCAGTCAGCCTATACCTAATATTAGTAATATAATATAAAGGGCTTACTCTTCAGATCTTCTCTGTAAGCGTGCAAGACTAGATCGACCGGTGGTATAAGACTGTGGTGCAGTTCCCGCGCCGCAGCTACCAACCACGAGGCGATGTCAGCGCACGCGCAGTGTATTACGTTACGGCTCTCCATCGCCGCCCAGTGAGCCTGCTCATTGCTCACTGCCATTCCTGATATGAGAACGCTGGAAGAAAAGAAATATAATGCTATGTTAAACATTTTCATCCATAAATTTTAGTTCTCACTTATTTCTAGTAGGCAACAATATTCACAGAAATTATCATCTTTACATTATTATTATAGCATTGAGCAAAATAGCTTCCACTGTCTGTACACTTAGATCTTTAATACTACGCAACGTGTTTTAATGTAATTTTCAAGTTTAGATAGAGTGAATCAAGAGGAAGGTTTTTTGCCTGCCAAAAAACATGAAATTAAAAATGCCTTAGAAACAAAAACTATAGTCTTCACCGAAACAAAACGAGAGCTGGTTACTTTACTAGTCATAAATGTAAGTCATCACTATACCATTATGTGTGTACTTTGTGTTTGATAGCATAATTGAGATAATTACGGGGGAAACTTATAACCTAGCTGAATCACCCTAAGTTATGTTAATTTATATAAGGACTTATTTAAAAAATATAGTATCTTCTACATTGATACATATCTATAGTGTTATGGTAACGAAAATACACGCTTGTGATTATTCGTAATTTGTATTCCTTCAATAGAATATTAAACGTCCAATATAACAGGAAAATATTAGTTACAATGTTGAAGGCAATAAATATTTTTTTATAAAACATAATTAAAATTCATTCATAAGAGAAATGTGAGAGGCGATATTATGATTTTAATAGGAGTCAATCAAAGAGGGGTCCTCCATGAAAGAAAATTTACTTTGGCTGAAATGCCTCTGGCATCGTAAATTATTGGCCGTTGTCTGTTTGCTACTTACCTTATAAAATGCGAGAGTAGAGCCCATTTGATGTTATTTACGTGCGATTTTATCAGTGTAATTTCTAACATTTTTCCTTGCCTTTTTATCTTTTTAATTTATTATTGAAATTAAAATAAAAAATAGAAAGAAATTGCTAAGATACATATGAATGAACGTTATTGCATGTTTTGATATTTCCTTAATGAAATAATATATTGATCATTCATAGCTGAAACATCTCGTTCTGAGTAAAACTTTGTTTGAATCACTATCAAAAGCGATAGCATAATATTAATTAGCAATTCTCTTTACTAAAGAGCGGTTTAAAGGCTAATGTGCAACATAATATGTTCAGCATTCTAGCGAAGTTTACAGACTTTGCGATGAAATGAGTTCGATTGAATTTTTTCAGTTTTACTAACAATTTAGTTCGTATTTCTTGCAAAATAAAAAAACCACCAAAGATTAGTTGAACCTAAATATATGTATTTAATATTATAATTATAAAATGCCGAAAAACCTGTCTAATCAATATAATTAGTTATTTATTTTTCTGCTCTTCTAAATCAAAAAGTAAAACACCCTCAAAGAAACCTAAGAGCAGGAAATAAATACTACCTACTCGAATAACAATTATTTAGTGGTGTGAAACGCCGCCAATACCTTTAAAAGTAACGATCGGTATATTAAGTAGGTAAATGAGACATTAAAACAGAAGTCATTAACCTTATTTCCACGATCACAGTACTGGAAAAGCCTATTAAGTGTCACATGTCTCATATGACAGTAATTGTATGAATAGTGGGCTTGTATGAAATTCCGTTCGATAACTAATGTTGCTGTCACGACAGCAAGAAAATTGTATAAACCAAGTAACATAGCGACAAAAGGATAAGAACAACAGAAAAATTCAGGTAGCACGTAACATTGACAAGTTGTATGAATTGAAGGAGACCTACATCTGCGTCAAGATAGGCTTTAGGTATTAACTCAACCCTAACATTAAGAGCTCTTTACGATAGATAGATGATGTATGAAATAATTAGGAGCTCGATGGCAGGTGGCTAGCGCGTTCGGGTGCGATCGTTGAAGTTAAGCAACTATCGCAATGGTCGGACATTGGATGGGTGACCAAAAATCTTCTATCTCGAGTTCCTCCGTGCTTCGAAAGGCACATTAAGCCGTTGGTCGCGGCTGCATCTGCAGTCCTTACCACCCGCAAATCCGCACTGGGCCAGTCTCCCTATTCCATCCATAGGGAAGGCTTGCTTGTGCCCCAGCAGTGAGGACATTATTAAACTAATGATGATGAAATAATTAGAATTATTACTAAAAAAGTTTCAAATTAAATCTAAAATTAAAACTAATAAATGCGTAAATGAAAGCCGATATAATTTTTTAATAATATTAATAAATTTTTTAATTTTATATGTTAAAGTATAAATATTTCTGTTTTTTAAACGTGGAGACCTGTAATTGGCCTTCTGTTACTAATTTTTCTTCAACTATGTCTGTTTTTATGAGCTGTTGGTCTCCCAAAAATTAAATAAATAAATGTTAATTAAATCACTCGCGCTTTTGGATTAATTGTGTACGTGAATTCCTATACTGAATTACTACAGATCTAACTACATGGAATACAAATAATAAGATATATCTTGTGATTATTTATACCCAATTTGTTACATCAAATCATCATGAAATAATCTGTTTATTATAAGTCAGTAAGTAATTAAGGAAAATGTAATTTGCAATGATTGAAAATAATAGTAAAATACCAGTTAATGAAATTCTTAAAAAAGTATCTACATTGGAATTGACCTACTTGTAATTCAAGTATCTAGGTTAAGTGCTGGGGATTAAGTTAAATTCGAACCCCCTCATTAATAATGAAGAATTTGTTTGAACTATTTAGGTAGTTTTTGTCTTGTTTCATGTAATCACAATAAACAATTAAAGTGATGTGAACAAAACAATGTGTAACTAGCCGAAGCTTTATGGTCTATCTACAAAAAAGTTAGACACGGTTACAAATCTTGTTTATGCAAATTTTGTATGACATTTTGTTTAAGCTCATGTTGAACGCCAAATCGCATATGTCTAACTTTGTTGTGTTAATTAGGTTACAGTTTTCTTAAATCACTTTCAACGGAATCTCCAAACTGTTCAGTGTGTGGAGAACTGGAGATTTGGAAGAAGTACATAATTTGTTAGTGGAATGTGAGCGGAATTATAGCCTAAGAGTCAGGGTTTATGTATAGTTAAATATTAATAAAGAGTATATGATGAGATATTAGTATTATGACCAATTTATCAGCTGAGCCATTTTTAGAGGCCGCCAAAGTAGTTGCTTTTTTCAATTTGTAGTATTTAGTTGAATAAAATTTGTCAAAGTTGGAGCTTGCACGATCGAATATGTCGATCAAAGTTTCTTAATAAATAAAGAATAAAAAAAAACACTTACCAACAAAGTAGTACCACAAAAAGTGCCACAACTACCAGCACCCTGTCATTGCAATCTGACTCCTCTGCTTCAGGAAACAAGGCCCCTGTTTCGGTTTCGTCGTTACATCTTGATTTAGAGAACAGCTTTAGAACAGCCAGAATGAATAAATATGCAGGTATGATTAGAGCGATGCAAGTAAATGCTATTATGAAGGCTAGAAATGTAGATTCCACTTTTATTGACTGAAAAAGAAAATGAGATAAAATTAGTGCATTATTTGAGGCGTGTTTTTTAAATCACATATTTTTAAGGTTTACCAACTATATAATTATTTAAAATAACTTGAACAAAAAATATCTCTTAAAGTAGCTAACGTATCTTAAGCATAACACTACACATAAGTATAAGCATAACACTACAAAAGAAGATAGAACATTAGCATTTATATTGTAAATCAGACCGGGAAGAATATTTGCTTTTTAAGTTCACTCGGGCGTCTACATATTTTGAAATTTTAATCGATTGTCTGATGTAGTCTAGGACCTCATACATTTCAAACACACACACACAAAGCTTAAGGAAGATTGTCTGTTCAGCGGTGAAAAGTAATAACATCGTAGCTATTATGAAGATTATGAGTTACCACAAAAGGGGAACTAAGCATTCCTGATAAATCTCGGCAAGTTGTTTGATGTAATCCGCGAAAAAGGGCGCAATTAGGATATGATTAATATGTCTCGGTAACAAGAAAAATACGCTCTTCAGTAAATAAGGGCGAGGCTGCGCCGTAATCATGGCTTAATAGCCCTCTTCAACTTCTGACAAGAAACAAAATGTTTCGGTACCGTAACTGTGTTTATTGTGGAGCACTTTGGCGCAGAAGCAACTTTTTCAATGGCCAGTAATAGGATGGGTGCAACGATATTTAATACCTTAGATACACCCCGTGCGCTTAAAATGTGTCCCAACCAAGAAGTGCTTGAATGCGACTTAAGCACTTATTGGTACACAGTCACGCGCGGACCATTGAAAAGTCAACATGCAGCAGAACTCCGTGAAAAAATGCGAAAAAAATACTTATAGTACGTAAAATTTAGTTTTTTCGACAGGTCCTTAATCAATGTTTGTTAAATTAACGTATTTGAAGCAAATTTTGTTCTAATACTTACTATAAACTGATTTAATAGAAAATATTTGTGATATTCAAATGCATGGTCGGTAATATAGCCGTCTCTTTTCCTCGCGGACCGCACCTGCTATTTTACTAACAGCGCACTCAGAATGACGCGTAGATACAAATTTAAAAGGTCTATATTCTTCTGTAATAGCAATAAGTCATAAAATTTTAGGAGCTTGCATTTCTAAATGTATGCCTATACATTTCGAAATGCAAGCATTCGAGGTCTTTGACTCATGCGTTTTAATTAAGACCTTATATAGAGTATGCATTGAAGGTGACTTTAAATGTTTAAATAATGCCTTTTATTGTTTTTGACTACGCGATCATCTTACGGAGCTCCGTGGATGGTCCAATGTACCTTTTGGACATGTTTTGGGCTACGATTTTGTTCGTGATGTTGTATCTAGGATGTTTAATATCATGGATGGGTGACTAAAAGATTATGTAAATTCCGTTATTTGGATGGATAATATTCATAGGCTGATGATAATGACTGTGTTAGGTAAAAAGCTTAGATAGTTCTTAACAGAATTACTGTCCTTTGTGTACTAGCCAAGTTAAAAAAGATGCGATAGTTTGAAGACCTAATTGCAATTTTTCTATTTATTTATTTAATAAATGCCTATAGGTATCAGTTAATTCATTAAGTGTTATCTTTTCATGTTAAAAGGGTGGCAAACAAGCGTGTGGCCCACCTGATGGTAAGCAGCCACCATAGTATAGTCTTTGTCTATACTATGGTGGTGGCTAGACGCCTCCGATACCAAAAATATCACTCGCGCCGTTGTCTACCTTAATCACCGACAGAAACACAACACCACCAAAAGGTAATATTATTTTGCAACACATTTGCTCCAAAAATGCATTTATGGAGGTTGTTTACATTGTTTGAAAGTACAAAATTACGCGCCATACAACGGAGCGTGCGGTAAAACATTTTACCGCATGCTCCCATACATAGCGCCGTGCGTATCCTTTACTCCTTGGGAGCGCTTTGAATGTATACCTTTTTCTTACATAAATACTAAAAAGTAAAAGAAACTAAAAATGTAGTTTTAATTTTCACCACACGCACTTGGCGCCATTTTCTTATTAGAAAAAGCTTGCTTCATAACTTAAACATTATACTATTTTCTCCTTTGCCACACATTTACAATGTGTTGAAAAACGTTCTATGACATTCGTGCGGAATTGGTATTTACAAACTAGTGACTATGGTAAACCCTCCACTTCGTCTCGGGCTGACATTCGTCTACTCGTTTGTATGTATATTTTCTTTTTGGGCATTATTTATTTTTTTATGATGTGGTATTAAAAATACACACAACCCTAAATTTTCTCTTCTACCACCTGACCCTATTTTTATGGCGGTACGAAGTTCGCTGGGTCAGCTAGTAAATAAATAAATAAGTATTTCCAACACTCACACCAATTAGCCTAGCCCCTAAGTAAGCACTATAAGGTTTGTGTTATGGGATGCTAGGGTAATGGACAGAATACTTATACTGTACATATATAAGTATATTTATATAAATACATAATATATGAAAAGGTACTTTTATAAGGTTAAACAGTGTATTTTCATTTTAAATAAAAAGAGTATTAGACTAATTGTAAATTGTTTCGTGTCCACTGGAGCCCACTAAAAAAAAGACTTATGCATGTTAAATCCCGTATAAAAAAAATGTGATTATTGTATGCAAAGAAATTATAAAAACAAGAATTATCATCACGTCTGCTACAGCAATACAAAAATATGTGTGTATATACTATTTGACAGCATGATAAATAAAGAGCCGTACAATAATTGGAATTTATATTTAACATGAATATTGAAAGCGATTTCACAATTATGCCAAAAAAAGTTGTTGATAATATTATTAAAAATCATGAATAAAAGTATTATTTGAACTATTGTCACGTAACTGAAAATGCCTAGGATTGGCGGAAATGACGTCACCTGCTTGTAAACATGCTGTCAAAGGGACAGTACTACAAAGTATGTTTGACGATTTGAAGACAGCCGCGTGACATCACATGCGTGTAAGGCGCTATATTATCTAAAAAACATTTCCACAGCATATTTGAAAAAAAGGATTTTTTTTTGAAATATACAGTACTAAATAACGTATAAACGTTTTCAAAAACTTGTTAAATAACTCAATTTGCTAAAAGTCCTACTTAGAAGTGTTTTCCTTGGCCGAAATACAAACTAAGGCTTCTATTGATTAAATCGCTAAACTCAAACCGTAGCGGTTCCTTTCGTGTTAATTACCTTACATGAAGACTATATTAAAATTAGCAATCAGCGATTTCCATTCATCGTTTCAGTAAAAATATTTAATATTAACAGCATTTTTAACATGGACAATATGGTGAAATATTCTATGCATAAAGGATGGGCGACTAAAAAATATAATTTTAAAGTTTGTTGTTCGTAGATAACGAAAATATTAAGGAGTTCCATCACATGAGTGAAGAAACGTTAGTGGTTCCGTTTTCAAAGTTGCGTACAAGTAGTTGGTTGAAAGTCAGCTTAAAACACATGTCCACAAACACCGAACTAATGCATTTTCAAGTATAACGAAACTTCCACATATATCCCTGTGTTGTGCAGTAAGTTCTTTAATTCGCTGTTCATTTTAGACCCTAGCGTTTTAGTTATAAGGACGAAAATTTCATTTTCACTACACATATGTATTATGAAATAACAAGGAAGGGATTCTTTTAAAATGTCAATGCCGTCCAAACTGTGGACGGGCAGCTTAAGTAAGTGCTGGAGCTGGAATCAAGGTTCAATAAGCGCTTTTCACAAAAATGGTTTTTAATTATTTTTGAACCTAACTCGATGTATATTTGATTTTGTTGCGTAAAAACAGAGAAATAAGTCAACAACTATACTTTTATTCTTAACTGCCAGATAACTAGGACTTTGTTGGCCAAAGTCAGAAATTATCATTGATTCATGTTTTTGTTTTATTTGTGGTAACATTAACCATTGCCCTATAGTTCCTTCTAGGGAACTAGTCACGTAAGTGAGGTACGCCCACAGACCAAGATTGAAGTAGACGGTGCATGTATTTCCAATAATATGAAAACCGAGCCTAACACTAAAATAAAATGAGATTTAACTAATACTTCTAAGGTGTAAGTTTTCGATCAACCAGACTAACAACCGATACCCAGACGGACGCTCCAATTCAAGCATGAAATCCTCTGTTTCCTATATGTCTGTATGAGATATTCAGTTGGTGCGTTCGACTATATAAACCATCCAATAGTTGAGAGATATTTGAAACATGAAGTCGATAATATTGTTGTCATTATAATGGAATTTTTTCATACTTATACGGCGAAGCAACTTTCTACAGGCCAAGGTTTTGTTGACGGACTATTTAACACGATTTTCGTTTCATTTTTATATACTTGAATTAAAAATGTGTAAGACCGTGATTATTTTTACGGCAATTTTATATTTGTCTTATGCAAAAATCGCACGTAAGTTTTTCAATCTTGATATATGTTGACAAATTTTTGGCAGACGACCATAAATCAAGTAACTGTAACTTTTACATTAAAAGTTTGTGAATCTTATTTCAAACAGTATAATGCACATAAAGTTTTAAATAATTACATAGATAACCAAGTACTTACTAATATATGATAAATTTATAAACTTTACAGCCAATTATATAGTACCATGTCCAGGCTTAAAATCAGACTGTTTGAAAAGCAACATACAGCAGGTAATACCAGAATTCGTGAATGGTGTTCCAAGTATCGGCATAGAAGTGTTAGATCCATTGCAACAAAACAATGTTGACTTGTCGTTACCGGGAGGGTTAAATATTAATTTCACCAATGGAACAGTAACTGGGTTGAGGCAATGCGTCATCGAATCTGCCGCGTAAGTATTTTTATTCTCTAGTACTTATACGTTTACAACAGGAATGGTGATTAACTTTTATCTTCGTCTATCAGGTGATTATCAAAAAGTACTGATACTGAGATACTGATGTGAATTCACGCCGCGAATTCGCCGCCGTTATTTCACGTCCTTGCATGGCACTGAAGTACGGCCAACGAGAAGCGATACGAAATGTAAACAAAGTCGATGAAAGGTTAATGACCTTTCAAATGTTGGCAATATTTTTGAAAATATCATTTTATTTATGAAACACTTAATAATAAATATTTACTACATTTAAAACTTAACAACAATTCAATAACAACGAAAAATTACAATCATTAGAATTATGAAAACCGAAAATCAATAGTTCAAAAATCAAAAAAATATTAGTTACATGAAAATATGTCATTATTTTTGAAGTTATACTTCTTTAGGCGCGTTATGAAAAAATTATGAGAGTGAAATTTTAAGATGCGCGCGCATCACTGTAACACAAAATTTTAACAGCATGAAGTTGGTCGCTTTAGCGACCAACTTCATGCGTTACTTTTGTGTTTACCGCACATTAAGAAAATCTACCAACAAAATAGAAATAGAATCTCTATTTAGTGGGTGCTAACGACTGCATTGTGAAGGCCTATCAAAATTATTTATTAATCTGGAACAACGGAACCAAAGCGCGATTCAGGAGACTACAGCGCCATCTCTTGACCATTGGTGTAGTAGAACCAAAAACCACATCTTTATTTTTTGTAATAAAGTAACAGTCATAGGTATTCATATTTATAATATCAAAAGTATTTATTAATCTGGAACAACGGAACCAAAGCGCGATTCAGGAGACTACAGCGCCATCTCTTGACCATTGGTGTAGTAGAACCAAAAACCACATCTTTATTTTTTGTAATAAAGTAACAGTTGTAGGTATTCATATTTATAATATTTATCCACATGTTTCTAGTTTGTATATTCGGAATACGTGTTTGAGTTTCATACAAGTGCAAATCACATATGTTTTAATAAATTATATTCAGTAGCGATTTTAATTGAATATTTAGATTTTTTTTTTCAAATTAAAACTGAACTTTATTGACTGTGTCTTTATTGATTGTAATTAATTATTTGCATGCAATTAAAAACTAATTTTAAACGATGCCAAAGAAGGATAACTTCTCACGCGCCTACATAAGTACACGCACCCATTTTTTTTACTATAAATGGACGTCGGAATGGTGCCGAACTAGGCGCTTTGGCGATTTATGAAATGAAAGATATAATTAATTAATACTTGAAAAAGTATTCATTTGACATTGTGGGTTACCTACAAAGCGAAGAGATGGCGCTGCCTTGCAGCTTAAGGCTAGGAAAATTTCGTCGCGGCGAATAGGGCCGTGGTAGCATAATTGGTCAGTGCATTCGCCCGGATTGCGAAGGGTGCGGGTTCGAGTCCCGTCCACTGCCTGGTCCGCTTGGATTTTTTCTAGTAAACTTTTCTTTAGATTTAAACGTCTAGCAGTTAAATGCTTAAAAATAAATAAAAACATAACTATAATTGCTATTTCTTCTTTCAAATGTTTAATACTTGAAAAAGTATTCATTTGACATTGTGGGTTACCTACAATGCGAAGAGATGGCGCTGCCTTGCAGCTTAAGGCTAGGAAAATTTCGACGCGACGAATAAGGCCGTGGTAGCATAATTGGTCATTGCATTCGCCCGGATTGCGAAGGGTGCGGGTTCGAGTCCCGTCCACTGCCTGGTCCGCTTGGATTTTTTCTAGTAAACTTTTCTTTAGATTTAAACGTCTAGCAGTTAAATACTTAAAAATAAATGAAAACATGAAAGATATAGTTATTAGAATGTCAGTCCGAAAATCTCGTCTAAGTTGAATTAACTTTTGTATCGCTTCTCGTTGGCCGTACTTTAGTGTGGAGCCGGTATTAGATTTTCTCAACGGTTATTGTTGGAAAGCAAAAGAATTGCAATGAAGTTATTCAAAATTTATTTCCAAACACGATAATTATTTTTCAAATTAATAAAAAACAAGTTATATTATTATGCAAAATGGTTTGATTTGTTTTTTATTTTTGAAATATAACCTTAATTTTTATTTTTAGCTATAAAATTAATGAAGCTGTGATGAATTTTCATTGTGATTTAACTGTGAGTGGCATTTACAAGGCAAATGGGAAAATCCTTTTTTTCTCAATTAATGGAGATGGTGAAGCTCAAATCAAAACGTGTAAGTAGAGTTGTTAAATAATATCATGGGTCATTTTTAATGTTGCGACAATGATACATTATTCTAATTTACTAAAATATAATATTATTGCTCTATTATATACACATTACGTTATAAGGGATCCAGCATTATTATTTATAATAGTGGAATGCATTGAACTACAAAAAATGCAACCAGATTTAAATAATACCGTACGTACCATTTAAATAATAATAATAAGTTATAATTTTTATTTTTTAAGCATGTCGATCATGTTTAAGTATAAAGAAAATATTAATTTATTTATTATAATATTTTAATGAACCAGTTTGCAACAAGTACTTTAGTTGCTTATTTATAAATAATATAAGTAAACGATTGATCAATATTTAACAAATATGGCTACTCGTTTAGGGTGCGACGCTAGGGGATATTACACGACGCGACTGTTTTAAAGAAATCTATGCATTTTTTTTGGGGATTACTCAACAGGAAATCATTTTTGAGAATGAGCTCAGTATTGTCATCTGTTAGGAATATATTTTTCAATAAAAAAAATAGCACAACTTAAAATGCCAAGAATAACACCTGCACATGTGATTTTCAGCAAACATGACAATGAAGGCTACGTTGTTTTTTGAAGATCAAACGAGAGACGGAAAAGTGTATTATGTCGTAAAGAAAACCTCATTTGATTACAAATACGGTGGAAGAGTGACATTCAATATTACTAATTTGATAAAAAGCAGTCCCAATCTCAGTAAGTATACTCGCAAGCTATGAAATTAACGTGCGTTCGTGTTTATGTGTTGTACGTATGCCTTCTACTGAGCGACAGGAATAAGCAAAAGTATTTTTTAATATAATATATTAGTTAGAAAATAGATGAGCACACGGTTCACTTGATGAACGATAGATGTTCCAGTAATTTGATCAAAGAGACTTTTTCAAACAGTTTGATTAAAAATAAATCCGGTAATGCATATTTCTTCATGCCAATCAAATTTTCTCACACATATTTATATCAATTTAGTAAAACTGTTTGTACTAGCTCGTTTCATCAAATTACTTGAAAGTCTATGGCAACCGCAAGCCGTCACAGTGGCCTATTGCCTTCGACACCAGAAGTATCACGAAGTATGGTCGACATTATTAAAACTTAGAAAACATCATGTTGTAAGTAATAATAGACGAGGTCATCAAAAGGGAACTTACACCACAACTTAATTGTACGTAGAGGGAAATACTTTTGGAATTGCGAAGAATGTGACTAACCCGGTTCCATAGTGTGAGGTTGAATTCCTTAGCAAACTAGCTGGGCGAAACCGAGTAAAATAGTTGTTGCCTTTTACTTAAAATAAAACCTCCGCTGGGCTTATTATAACAATTTTCCAGTGGAAGCACTCATAATAACTTTATCTTGACGAGTTAAAGGAAGCACGCAAGCAGTTGCAGTCGAAGACCGGCTTATGACTTGCTTATTTATCAGAAATGAAAGAATGGATTCATTCGAATTTAATTCGATTGCGAGAAACTAACATGCCATTATAAGTCTTTATTAAATTGAAGTTGGTTGTAAACATCAACGTTATTGCGACTGTGTTGTAAAATTAATTTGATATGATATGTAAAATAAAATTTCCAAAAGTGTACGTATGCAAATTTTGGACTACAAAAAATTTAAATAACTCTAATTATCCTCACCTAATTATCAAGTTCAAGAGTAATTGTAATATGAATTGGTATCGTCGATCTTAATTTGTAGCCATTGACGTGGTCACCAATCTCATTGTACATAAAATCAATCTGCAAAATTTTTTATTGAAAAAATACATACTTATGTATTTTTTATGTTAAAAGGGTGGCAAACAAGCATATGTCCCGCCAGATGGTAAACGACCACTCTAGCCTATAGTAGGGGAGCCCTGGCGCCTTGCACCTAGTTAAGTACTCCCAACATACCTGAGCCCTCTATGTAGGGCCGAACGTCTAGGGCAGCAAAAAGAAAATTTCAACGAACGGCTATGACTTTTGGTCGGGTCCAAATCGTTAGTCTTTTGAATAGGAGCTACTGGAGGGTTCACGTACCACTATGGTATGGACAATGATAATATGGGTAATGAAATAAAAGATTAATTTTAGGAACACAAAGAAAAAGTATATATAGAGTTCGGTATCGAGCTATAAGAAACAAGTTTATTAATATCATTAAAAATGGTTTAAGTTGAGGACTAACCGAGCAACTACAGTAAACATACATTGTAATAAGATTTTTGTGGTGGACGTGGTGGTTATTTTGGTATTGTCTTCTTTAAGATGGACTATACTTGAATATATCGGCTGAATATGCGATAGTTTATGTTACTTGTTTGGTTTCAGGTGAAGCTGTCTTATTATTTCTTAATGAAAACTGGAAGGCTGTTACAAAGGAATTCGGAGGGCCAATTGTTGACGAAATCTTTAATTCGGTCATTAAGAATATTAAGAAGTTCTTCAGTAATATTCCAAAAGACGAACTTTTCCTTGATACAGGCATTTAAAATAAATCTTCTAGTGTCACCATAAATAAGGATGACCAACTTTTTATTTTAAAATTAAGAATACTGTTATTGTTATTAAGAAAACGATTACTTATGGTGAATTTTGTGCAAAAAAATAACCCAACTTAGGATCTCGCACATGACGTTCTCATTTACAGAGGTCAATTAATTTTCAAGTTTGACTAAAGTCGATTTCGTCAGTTTCTTTCAAAGATATTAAACACCTTCTTTGCGTTAAAAAGAGACTACGTGTGATTTTGACAAGCACTAGATTTATTTTTTCTCTAATGGCGTTATTTCACTTAGGCGTTAGTATTCGGGATACGAGTGCTAATGGAATTCGGGTAAACGACTAAGTGTAAATGAACGGAGTCGAATACGCCCGTCGATTATTTATCCGACGCCGTCTTTCAGCCCGTTTTTCAGTGTAAATTTTGTTGCAGGTGCACGAATTCGAATAATGTCTTTCGTGCACCCGAATACGGGTTAGTGACCAAATGTAATTGCGCCATAAGTGTAGATACCATCAAACTGTATGAACTGACAACTTCATAACTAAGCTAAAATATCTAAAGAATTTTTTACTACAAAAAATCGCTCAGCCCATGTTACAGACGGGATCCGAACCCGCATCTTCCGCTTTTCGGGCGAAAATCTAGACCGCATAGTTTTTTACCAGTAAAATTTTCTTTAGATTTAACTGCAGCAGCAAAATTTCTTAAATAAAAATATAATAAGTAAACTACTGAATTTTAAACCAAACATACTATGTTACTAGTAAAATGATGTAGTTTGCACCCGTTAAGATAAAAACTTTCAGCCTTTTGTGTAAATATTCCGAGGAAAGAAAGTAGCTATCGGAGACTGACAATAATTATCAAAATTTTCTTTGTAGAATCAACAACACATCAATAGATACAGCTAAGACTGTATGACCCTTTAACACAAAAACATATATCACATATCTTACAGAATACATAATAGCTACGAGTATCACGAAGAAAATATCAAGATTAAAAAAAAAGCGCCGAAAATGTCTAGTTATATTTTTACAATTACCTGCAGGAATGAGTACGGGAAAGAAAATTTCCCCCATACAATATCCTTGATAAGACCTAGAAATGATTTACACCCCTTTAAAACTTTGGGAATAAAAATAGAATAAATGAAGACAATCCTTAAAAATATAAAATGTTGGTATAATACTGTGCTTTCAAAATGTAGACCAAACGGTTTGGAATTTTCCAATTAACTTTTGCCTTTTTTTAAACCTATAACGGAATTACAGGGAACACTTTTGTTTTGCGGGTACTTGAAAAGCTATTGAATTAATATTTTATAGTTTTAACGTTACAGTTTTACTTGAAAAAAAAAACAAAACTTTAATTAAGGCAATCATGCTTTACTGTTGTAATTAGATTGAAAATATCACATTGAATAAATCTATGATGATATTTCTTGTTCATAATGATAAAACTCACTTCATGAATTTAGAATAGCAGATCAAAACAATGTTATACCGTTATTGCATTGCAAATCTGAAAGCCGATTAACTGAATTAATATCGATTCACTGCATGCAAGCATCAGAACATGTAACTCATGGAGCATTGATTCATTAATTTATAAAAACATTTGTAATTATAAACAAACTCCACTTACCAACGGGAAATTCGAATGGGTAGATCACCGTAAAAAACTCCGACATAAATGTGAACGGATGGAAACCTTGTTCGAGTTTGAGCGCTGGAATCAAATAGGTTTCCTTCTGAGGTAAGCCGCTAAATCTTATTTTACCTCTGTCCTTCGTCTCGAACCAATCTTCAGTATAACTTGCTTTTATACTAATTTCCGTTACAACAGCCTTCTGGGTTATATTGAAGTTTTCCGAAGGTTCTTTAAATATTTCTCTAGTAATCGGTATTACTTGAACAGTTGTTGTTAATATTGGAATTTCAGTTATTGTGACTTCACTTATCTTTTTAATTAAAATAGATTCCGGTCTTTGTTGACGTCGTTCTTCTGTTTTACTTTTCAGAAGACTGTTGTACTTTTCTAACCAAGCTTTCATTGCCTCGGTATAATTTCCTGAATTAGTATCTCTTTTGTTCCAAACTGTGGTATTTTCCTGTACTTTATCTACAATATCGTCGTGAGAATCACTACTGGCAACTTCCATATCATCGGGAACCTTAACCATATTTGCTGGATGATCTTTAAAAGTTGTTTCTAAGCAAGAATCCCAGACCAAAGGCTGTGGTTTTCGAAAAATTTCATTGATATGTGGATCCTCTGAGCTATTCACCTTATTGTTTGATTTTGTGTTTTCATCAAACGAGAGAAACTCGTCTTTGCCATCGTTCTCATGTTTTTTATGTTCATTTCTTTCTGCGTAAATTGTGGAGATTGGAAGAAAATTCTTCTCCCGCTTTGAGTCACTCGACGAGGCACTCCCACTGACGTTTAGATTGTTTCCGGCTGAAGCCCCAGGCGTAACTTCCGTCGTCGTTGTCGCCCAGATTTGTTGGATTTGCAAAGCAAAATTAACTTCTGTTGCATTTCTCGGTAATGCGGTTATGGTACTTGAATTTATTAAGACGTTTGCGCGTACCATTTGATTTGTGAGTAATGTGAAAGCCAATGTAACCACGTTCATTTCCGTAGCTTATTTTGAAATGTCGCTATAATGTCCTTTAGTAACGTGTGTTAGGTGATCGTATTTGTGGCGCACTGAGTAACTGAGGGACAGCGGTCAGAGGATTTGTGGCACTTAGCAGTCTGCCGGCTACGTTGCACAATCGTATCACGGCTCCGATATACCTTTACTGGATTATGTGTAGAGTAGGTATTAAGTCAATTTGTACGTACGCGTGCTTACTATAATACATAATTACAAATTCAAAAAAGGAATACGTTAATACGTATTTATATCTGTACCTATAGATTATCTATTTTGCTGGTTTACTGCGCTCTTGTATCTTGTATCATTTGTTTGTATGATATCTTTAATTTTATTTATTAAATCCTAATTCGCTGACTATATTGAAATTAGTCTGAGTTAATATAAAATAAAAATAATTACTTTTAATCGGTTGTAAAGAATGCTTATCTTTTCTCTGTTTCGATGCATACTTATGTCATATATTTATGTCAATACGGGTTACAATCTTAATAGTGCAATACCTCAATTTTAGATGAAGTCCCAGGGCCCAAATTATAAAAGTAAATCATATACAATAAATGTATATTTAATTCAAGATAAACAAAATGTAACTTGAGATGCTGATTAACAATCAACATAATGATTAATTACTTTAATTGTGTTGTTCCTCATTAACAGTAGTAAACGCATGGAATAAATTAAATTATTTTTTAAAATATAACTCTCATGGACTTAAACAGTACCATATTCGTCTGCGGATTATGGGATTAAATGGACTTAAAAGAGATAATCTAGGGTCTACTAAGCGAGCTTTTGTGTGATCCTCATAAAATATCATAATAACATAATGCTCAAACAAACATTTACGATAGTGAAATGATTTATAGTATTCAATAGTAGTATCCTAATAAATATTACTATATTTATCACTTCCATTTAATGGTCTCTGTTTAAAGCATTAACGCATATTATAAAACACAGACACAAGTCACTGTAGCAAATATATTACTGTCTATTACATGATAAGTGCAAAAACAACGCGATTTATTTATAACTAGAAGTGTTCTGCGGTTTCAGCCGCTTTAATCTGGTTGTCAAGGTTGTCTGGAAGAGATCGCTCTTAGCGATAAGACCGACCATTTTTACACTATAAGCAGCCATTATGTATAATGTTTTATATTTTTTGTGGTGTAAAATAAAGAGTTTTATTATTATTAATTTGATGAAAAAGGCTATAGTCGGTCATCATTAAAAGATAGATAATAATATATGCTGTCGCGGACTTTTTTTAAGAACTTTCAAAGAGAAACAACTCCGTCATACATTTTTTTGTGTAACTTTTACAGTTTACGCAGACGACGCGACGCAACGGAAGCTCTCAAATGGAATATTTTTTCCCGTTTTTGCAACGTTATTCATTGGTGCTTTGCTCCTATTGGTTGCAGCGTTATATCATATAGTCTTATAGTCTCGGTCGATAAATTCACTATCAAATCCAAAAAGATTTTTTAAATCGGACCGGTCGTTACTGAGATAGCGCGTTCAATAAGCCACACAAACAAACTCTTCAGCTTTATATTATTAATAATAGTAATATTAGAGATAAAAAGAAACTCAGCGTAGCGTAACGTAATCCTACGTCTATGTAAGAATCAATCGACCTTGGATTCCTCAAACCAATAAGGAAATATCCCTACTACCTACCTAGGTATATTTTTATAGCCCAACTAAGATATTTGTCATTAATCTTCAATGTGCAAGTCCTTTACTGTTTGTGCTTTGTTATCTTAGTAGATGCAAAATTTAAGGCGTCTTTAAAATTTTCTAGGCAGTTTCCAATCGGATTTCCACTACTCTGCGCTTAGGCTGTAATGAATAATTCATCCTGTCGACGCTAGGCTAACAGCTCACGACAACTATGTGTTCCTGCATTATGGAAGACTTAAAGCGTTTGTTGATTTGAATAAATCAGTTGTCTGATGATTCTGTAAATGCAGTATAGGGTGGATATAAATCCAATGAGTGAGTCGAAGTGCACTATTCAGTTAACCTTCTTGGGTACTAGTCTGAGAAATATTAGAATTGTTGTCTCGTATATGTAAAAATTAAAAAACAAGCAATTGTAAATATCGAAAAGTTACATCATTGGTTCGCAAACCTACGGCAGGGGAGCTTGTTCTATGTAAATAATACCTATAAATAAGTTATAGGCATTTAAATTTTAATAAATCAGATCAGATGAACATGATTTGCACCTATCCATGGTAATAGTTTAGACTACGTTGATGTGTTGTTTAAAATATATTACTCATTCTATAGACGTGTTACATTATCTTTAAAGTCCTGTGGTAAAAAAATATTAGCTATAAATATTCTGAGCAATGTCGTTTAACATATTTTTTGTTACTTAATTTTATAATGGTTTTGAGTACGCAATTTTTTCTTATATGCCAATTCTTTTTGTTAATAACTGTCTGTTGAACTATGAGTATAAAATTAAATATAAATTATAGAAATATAATTGGAAACTAACTGCTAGGCATCAAAGGAATATATTGTTGGTGGCATTGAAATTAATATTTTAAATTTTAAAGCTATTTTGATAATATGTTGTAGTCAAATCTGGAAGCTCCGGCGCTCCTAGGTTTGACTAGTTAAGCCTCACGTCTGACTTGAAGTCTTAGGCCCGTTTTACAGAATGACAACTAAGTGTCGATCTTTACTTGAGCACAGTTAGAAAGGGATGGCGCTATGTACTATATATAGCGACATCCCTTTCTAACTATGCTCAAGACTAGATCAATCACTGAGAATCTTTCTATAATACGGGCCTTGGTGGTTCGTCAAACCTAAGAGAAACTAATTAGGTTAGGTAAACGTTGAAACTCAACTAAATGAAATCGGGGTTTGACCCGTCCACCTTCAATTAAGCATTAGAATGTCTTAGTTTGTTAGATTAGGTGTAGTAAAACGATTTTTTTATTTATTTTAATCGTTATTGTTTTGATGTTTCCATAATTTTCATAAAAAAATGTCTTTATTCACACATGGGAGGGCGATATATATGTTACTCATGCCGTTAGATATCTTACGTCTGAATGTTTTGTTGCAATGACATTTTATAAAGTTATTTCTCTTAGAAAAGGATTAACGTCGGGCACATCTTTGAAATGAAGAAAATTCTCTTTGCATTATTTTTTATGAGTCCTAGTAAAAGTGTGTTTATCGTTCCGTGTTTTGTTCCTACCCCATATAAACCATTAACTGTTGTGGAACACCGAAATGTTGTTTAAACATGTCACAAATATATTCTTTGTTTGACGTAGCCTGTCAGTCGCTTCTAGGATGGACTAGGCAAAGCCCGAAATATATTACGTTACTTCCGACGTTTGACTGGAAAGTTAGGAACTTCAAGACTAAGTGAAAGTCAAAGGCCGAAATTAGAATATATTTCGTGATTTGCCTGAAAGTTTTTTTGAAACCTGGGATAAACCAATAATTTCGGGAAGAGACCGTATGAGACCTATGACTAGATAGATACAATGAACCTACGGATACATCAAACTCACGTTTTTTTTGTATTAAAATGTAAAGACATTCATCGACTGGTAAAAAGGAGGTAGGAAGTTCGCCAGGTCAGCTAATAATAAATATTTCCAAAACTTACACCAATTAGCCTAGCTCTAAAGTAAGCACTTTAGGTTTTTGTTATATACAGATACAGATAGTAGTATGGTAACCGATAGAATAATTATACTGATACAAATTTAAGAACATTTGTACTCCAGTCATGGATGTTTAATATGTATTTCTATATATGTATCAGTATTATTATTCTATCTGTTACCCTACTACTACCTGTATTAATAAGAATTCATCGCACATATATCTGCACCCACCGGTATACGAACTGGGACCTCTCGAGTAGGCGAAATCTTAAAACCCGGCGTAAATATTACCACTCGGCCACGGAGGTCGGAGGTTTATCTATTTTTTTCCAAAATTGAGTAATAATATTATAAATTTATTAATGAAAACAGTTTTATTGAATCCCACAATGGTGACTGCATGCATAAAACCGTATGTACGACATGTGTCGGCAATTTGAATACTGTAAACATCGCGGCAGGTCTCAACCATTCCTAAGCATTCCTCCATCATGTTCGCAAAAAGTCGTAAACGCCACATATGTATTCACAGCAATATGACCTCAAGACGCAAAGATGTGAAAGGATTGAATAGACTTTTTTGCATGCCCCGGAAACGAGGGCGCGAGGTTATATGTGTGTTGAGTCAACATAGTGCTTTTCTTTCGGACCGAGGCCTCCCCGAGATTTTAAAAAAGTAAATTGACTAGTCGCAGGTGGTTGAAAGAAACGGGTCAGCGGGTCTCCGCCGTGTCATGTTCATGTGTCACCAGAGTTGGAGTGAGGACACATAAAATAAAACAGATTTTGATTTCAAAGATAGAATTTTATTTAATCGATATTTTGTTTACACTGATGCATTTATTAAGTTGGTTCTTTCTTTCTATTTATTGTTAGAATTAAAATTACTCATTGATATTCTGTAACTTGTATCATGTAAATCTAAATACAATATTTGCGTTTATTGGTTTGTCTATAACTCAGAACCAAATTTCAATCCCTTGCACGATTAAGATATAAAAAATGGCCAAACATCTTGTTTTAGTTTCACCTATATCAATTTATTAATATGGTATTTTCTTAGTGATATTAATCTTTCTCTAATTATATGAAACCTAAACCGGCGCTTTTTATACTTCGTGTCTTGAATTTTCTATAACGAAAGTTTTCCAAGTACATGCCTGTCCTTTACTATTTCTATTAATTATCGCGTCAACTGGAGCGGGGATCCCATCTTCCGAGAGGTCATTTACTAGCCAAACTTTACAGCCTTCTTTAAATTGAAGTGTAATTGGGTCATCTACTACATAATACTCATGTAACGGGTAAGGTGAAAAATTATGTAGGTACTCGTTTGTTTTGGTTTTAAACCAAGCTTGAATATTTGTTTGAGTAACTCATTTAGTATGATGTTGTGTTTCATGGAGATTTGCTA